CAAATTTTTTTTGCATATTTTAATTGGATTGGATCAGTTTTCGATTTGGTTGGTGAAAATCGTTCCAATCTAGATAAATCCAATATATTATGTATTTGTTATTTTTAAAAGATAATGGCTTGGAATCTTGTAATTTTGTAGACTTTGACCTTGGATGTTATTGATAGCAAAACTATCTTGTTTCAGTTTTTTATTGTCAATTAATCTATTTTAACTCTTCATGATTTTTAAGACTTATTTTAGTTTGAAGACTTGAATTTTTTAGTAGTTTGTAACTTTGTATGGTTTTATTTTGATATAACTAGTGATTTGTAGGACTAAAATTTTAGACTTTTCAAAAAAAGCAGAAACCGATCCAATTCAAACCGGATAAAATTGGATTGGATTGGATTTAAAAAAACTCTAAACCAAATAATAATGAAACCGAAGAGATTGAATCAAATAAATTTTTTTTTCAAAATCAATCTATTACAGACCGCGAACACCCCTAGCTCTTAGTCTCGCTATAAAATACTACTTCTTACAAAGCGGTATATGATAATATCCTAATTCTAAAGCTATATTAAATGAAAAGAGTTTATTAAACTTTAAATCTTCTAATTATTTGAGTTGCAAAATAATATTTTGACAGTTTACTAAAATATTATTGATAATTGCATTGTAGGAATTGTGAAATGGTAGAAAATAAAAATGGAAAAACTTTATTTTCACTCACTGTGGTTTTGTAATTTATCATTTAACCCACTGTGATTTTAAACTTATCACTTAAAGACATACTGTGCTGAAATAATTTATTATTTAATCCCCGATAATTTCAAATTTTCACTTAGACCCCTTGCGGTTACAAAAATTTCTACTTAAACCCCTTGTGATTTAAAAAATAAACATTTAAAAAAAAATATCTAAAATAAATTTTCTCTCTTTTTTTTTTTTTGGTGGATTCTCTCTTTTTTATTTTATATCCTCATGCAATGCATTTAGGGTTTGAAAAATATTTTAAGTTATTTATTCTGAAATTAATTTATAAATTACCTTAATTTTTTATTTTAAAAATATATTTAAAATTAAAAAGATATTATTTAAGATAAATTTAATATGTATTATCAAAATAAGATATTTACTTTCTTTAGATAATTTTATAATCATACCGGATAAAAAATAGATAAAATAAAAAAATTTGATTTGAATTTATTTTCTTGATAAAAATAAGTGAACTTTTTTAGAATTTATTTTTATTTTTTTAGGTGAGGATATAAAATAAAAAAGAGGATAAATTTATTTTAAATATTTACTTTTTAAACTATTATTTTTTTATAACAAGGGGTCTAAGTAAAAATATTTTTAACCACAAGGAATCTAAGTGAAAATTTAAAATCACGGGGGGTTAAATGATAAATTATTTAAGGACAATGGATCTAAGTGATAAATTTAAAACCACAGGAGGTCAAATGATAAATCACAAAACCACAATGAGTGAAAATTAAGTTTTCCCAATAAAAATTTATTTGACACATAATTAGGAATGTAAGAGAATATAGTATTATATTAATGGAAAAATATATTCTTATGTTGTAGGAGAGTATTCTCTCCTACACATACATCGACTTCCGTGTTTCTTTTTTTCTTTCTTGTTTTATAAGTGAGTGAATCACACACATGACTATCTCTATGACATAAGAGAGCTTCTCTTATGTTGCAAGAGATTAATAAAGTCCTATATTAATTATACATATTTTTAAATTGAAATGAAGTGATTAATTAAACATAGGGATGTGAGAAGTGAAGAAGAATTATTGAACACTTAATTTGAGAAGTGAAATATTCTAATTATCTTATTAATTTCCTTTAATTTTAATATTATCAATATAATTAAGAGGAGAGATCGAAGTGAAATTCACTTTTACATCATACACAAATTTTACGCCCGTGCTATGATTTGGGGAGACGAGTGGTTTATGTTGACGCACGGGATATTAAGTTCATAACATGAGAATGGAAGAGTCAAGCACATATTGGAGTTTTCTTTCCATAAACAGCTAATAGGTTGCATTTGAAATGCACCAAGCATAACAGCGCTTGTTTTTTTTTTTTTTACCACAATAATAATAGGGCATGTTTAGTGCATATTATAGGATAAGGTCTGATAGTATAAGATCTGATAGTATAAGGCCTGATTGTATAAGACCTGATTGAATTTTAATACTGTCAAGCGTTTGGCACAGTATTGTATAAAATAATATATTGTATAAGATAATATCATCTAGTATTTGGTAATGCACTGTATAATACTATATATGATAAAAATAAATATTTTTAATAAAAATATCCTTTAATAAATAATTTATATAATTTTTCAAAAAATGTCATATGATATTAATTTTTATAAAAATTTATTGATCAGTGTGTCCAAAATATAAATTAACTTTTAAAAAATTAAAAAGATTCAATTTTTTAAAAATTGATATATTGAAAAATAAATTTTTATTTTAATAGATTAATATTTTTTTTTTGGAGGTTACAAGGAATTGAACACAACACCCTACACTACACACACTCCTAACACACACACCCCACACCACTAGGCTAACCCTAGTGGTGCTTTTAATAGATTAATATTAAAATAATATATTAATTTTTGAGAATTACATTGGTCAACGATGTTAATACATCAATCTCTTATTCCTCACTCTTAGGCCGGATTAAGTTATACATCGTTTTAATGTATTAAGGGATTATGCTGTATAAGCTTATACTAAACGGTGGTCAAACCAAACAACTGAAAATGTCATAACGTATAGTATAAACTTATACTATTATGCTTTATACGTCACACCAAACAGGCCCATACTGACATTCAAACTTATAACATAGGGAAAAAGTATCTAATGTTACTTTAGACAACTTTGTCTAATGTTCATTGAAACGACGTCGTTTTGGAGTTGAAAAATTAAAAAATTAGAATGATAAAGACTATTATAACCCTGAAATAAATTAAAATTACAAAAACACCATGATTTCCGTTCTAAAACGACGTCGTTTCGATGAATATTAAATAAAGTTATCTGAAATAACTTTAGAAAAACCAAACCCTATGACATGGGTTCACTTTTTCTGCAGTTACTGCAGATAAGTTATCTGCAGTAAGCCTAATGAAATATTATTCTAGGACAAAAATTATGATATTTTTGTAATTTTAATTTATTTTAGAGTTATTATAGTCTTTATAATTATAATTATTTAATTTTTCAATTCCAAAACAATATCGTTTTAAGAGTAATACAGATAACTTATCTGCAATAACGGCAAAAATATTATTCTGATTTTTTTTTCCAGCCGATGTAATGTTTAACCAATACTTAAATTTATGGAAAAATGACTTCCATTCCAGTTTGTATATTAATTAATAAACTACATTGATTATCTGCAAATAATTATGTTTGTGTTTTGAGTTTAAATTATGGTATTATAAGGTGGGATAGGATATTGTGATAATCAAGTCATGTTACACTCATGTGACAACCAGTCAATCTCACTGTTAAATTAGATTTTTGATCTAACGATCCAGATTTAATCTTTATATACACCCTTATTTCCCCTTCTCTCTCCCCTTTCTCTCTGATCATACTCTCTCTTTTCCCTTCTCTCTCATCACAATCTCTCTCTTCCCTTCTCTCTCATCATACCATCTATCGCCGCCGCCGCCGCGCACTCCACCGCCGCCGCCGCACCTCCCTCTCTAATTCACCGCTGCCGCCACAGGAGGAAGGAGAATGTTCCCCCAAAGCAAAATACAAGCGTGCCCTTGAATTCTTCACCTTGCAACGAATCAAATGTCCTTCAGTCCAAACCCCTATTGCCAGGAATTGCAGTTGATTCTAGTCTGTCAAATTGGTTGATTACTCCTAATTATAATGTCTCCAAGATCACAATTCATTGTCAATGATGCAGATATGTCATTGAAGAATCAGAGACTTGGAAGATATTAACCTCATGAATTTCACACAGGAAAGTGCAATATGATACTACCAGCCTATTATTGGTGGAAACCAATTTGAAAGGATAACGCATCAAAATTTGATTCTTCTGTTGATTATTCATTCAACAAACCAGTATAAGCCAGTTGGGATGATTTTCATTGTATTTGTGTGTCTAATTATTATCCTGTATTTTGCTTTGTTTTGTTTTTTGGAAGAGTTATGTTGTGATCATTGCAGTGTATTTGTCTGTGTTTATGTCTTTCATTCTGCAAAGCAATGTTTGAACCAATTTGGTGAGGTTCTTGCAAAAATTAGAAGCAGGGCGGAAGTTACAAACACATGATTACAGATAAGAAGCGGGGCGGAAGTTACAAAACCCGGAAGGTTGTAACAATCAACTCCACAGATTTTGGTTCAGAAAGTTATTAGTTATAGACCAAAATCTACAAAATCCAAATTAAGCAATATCAAACAATAAGCGCCAAATATTAGATTGTTCATATCAAGAAGATCCAGGTGATCGTTTCTCCTGTGGCGGCGGCAGTGAATTAGAGGGGGAGGCGCGGGGCGTGGCGGCGACGGCGGCGGCAGATAGTATGATGAGAGAGAAGGGAAGAGAGAGATTGTGATGAGAGAGAAGGGAAAAGAGAGAGTATGATCAGAGAGAAAGGGGAGAGAGAAGGGGAAGTGAGGGTGTATATAAGGATTAAATCTGGATCGTTAGATCAAAAACTTAATTTAACGGTGAGATTAACTGGTTGTCACATGGATGTAACATGACTTGGTTGTCACAATATCCTATCCCTTATAAAAATACCTTGACTTCAGCTCCAAAACTACGTCATTTTAAGCTCAATGTAAATAACTTATCTACATCTACATTGACAGCAGGAAAAAAAAATCCAAAAAAATTACGGGACCTGAAATGATTTTTTTTAATTGTTTTTTTTTTCTTATTTTGATTTTAAAGCGAACTTAATAGAAATTATTACATTCGGCCTACTTCAGAACTCCAATGCATACCAAATACTAACAATTCGACGAGAATAGCTATTAGTTAATCTTGGCCTCCAACTCCCAGTTGGAAAACAAAACAAAATCATAATTCAAATGCAATTGAAGGGGTGACCTGTACAAACGGATAAAACATGAGTGAGTGAAAAAAACCTTTCAAACGATGGAGCATTGTCGCGTGTTGCGAGCGTTAAGACATTGCTCTCTCCAAAGAAGCTAACATGCATTATGCCTTGCCCCAATCTGCCCAAGAAAGTAGAAAGTGTATCTTATCCTTGTTAAGAGCCTTGGCCGAGTATCATGGGTAACAATGTTGGAAAGTCGTATTAGAAGAGGGACACAGTCAATCCAAGGAGCACAATTAGCAATATATAAAGATAAAAACGTAATACCAGGAAAGGTCCCATTTCTCCCTGTCATGATGCCCTATCAGAGTATTGCCAGACTTATTTTTCCTCTGGCGAGTGGCATAGTAAAAGTATCTTATTGGGGGCAAAATCAGGACATCATAGGACGTTGACACTGTTAAGGAATGAATGTCAAGTCCCAACACAAGACTAAGCGTCCTGTGTCAGAAGAACGGCACTGAATCAAGCATTCACCAAAGATAACGAAAAAGATGGCCAGAAGATAAAAAAACATTAGTTGAAATTATTGTGAATGATCAAATCATGGAATGAGGAAATCTCTTGAACACATTTCCATTCAATGCTTCTTCATAGAAAAGCTGGTTAAATCATAAGAAAACACAAGTTCAGAATTCAACAAAAAAAGAGGGCAAGAGAGAGAATAAAGGCAATATTTCAGTCTATTTGTATGACAGAACCAGGAACTGAAGAAGGATCAAGCTCCCAACACCCTCCGATATCTTCCCCACTGTGCTGAAAAGCAGGAATCTGATGCGAAAATCTACCAACCTCTTCTCTTAATATTTCAATTACAGCAGTTTTAGATCTCTGGCTTCTAGGAACCTTGAAAATTGGCCGAGAGCTTTTAAGAGGCCTCAGAACAACAACTTGTATACTCTTGTCGCCATCTGCTAATACTTCTACTATATGACATTCACCTCTGCATCGGTTTGAAGAAGTCAGTTCATAATTCCGGTCCTTGTATACAGCCCAAATCTCACCTTTTCTAGGGTAAATTTCATATATATTATTTGCCATGGGTTTAACATTCAATTGATGGGAGAACGCAGATAGAGAGACAATTTGTGATTCAGCTTTTTTCACTTTGAAAGTACCACAAGATATTCTTTTTAAGCCTTTTGATGGTGAGCAGGGTTCAAGTAGGGATACGTACAATCTAAAATCAGGGGTGAATTCAATCTTCCTAATTTGAGCATAATTGTCAGGCATATTATCCCTATCACCATATATTGCCCATATCTGATCACACTGAAACATTTTTTCAGATATTTCCTTCTTAAAGTCAAAACACAATGCTCCCACAACTCTGCAATCTTTTTTCAAACATGCACGAACACTTCCTGGCGACTGAGAAATGACGTTTGAATGATTATCAGTCAACTTGCAAGGTTTCCATTCGCCAGCATCTCCTTGAGCATCTTTCTTGCTTAAATCTCTAGGCGACCTTCGTACTTTCAATGTCTCTCTTTCATAATTATTTTTCTCATGTTTCTGTGGTGTCTTGACCTTCTCATTAGTCTGACATGCAGCAGTGATTCCCTCAGTTTGACTGTAGTCCCTGTAGCCAATATCTTCGTCATCCTCTCTGACAACATATTGATTAAAGCTTGCTTGACCATTTTCCTTACCTTTTTGGTTTGACCGAGGTGATCTTCTAAGGATTGACGAAGCTCTTTCAGCATCATTAATCTCATGCAACTTTGCCTTGTGAATACTCTCATTAGACACTGACTGTTCAACTTTCCATTTAGAGGATTCATGGCACGGAAAATTGACTCCATTGTTTAACATTTCATGCTCTTTTATTACATCACCAGGATCACCAACTTCAAAAAGACTATTAGGCAGGCCAGCAGGGTCAAGTTCAAAAGATCCTCTTGGAACACCTTCCTTTTCATCACCAGCCATCTTATACGAAGGAATCCGATGCGAGAACCTATATAGCTCATTAGGTGGAACACAAAATAAGCAAATTCCATTCTGCACATTTTGCTGAAAGAGACTAACAAACCCTTTCACTTTGCCAAGATAAGCAACTTTAATGCCAACATTCTCATCAAAATCAGATAGGACTTCCACATATTCAAATTGATACTCTGAATGATTTTCTGGATTAGAACTCCATCCCATATCCCAATGTCTAAAAATTGCCCAAGTTTCACCCTTCTTAGGATATACCAGATAGGAACCTCTGGCGCTTCCTCTTTTGCAATGTATCTGATGAGAGAACATCTCACGATTCGTAGTTATCTGAGAACGACCAAGTTCGAACTTACCACAACCAACAGGCAAACCTGCACAATGCCAATCAAACTCACCCTGGTCATCTGGGTTAGCTTCCAGCCATTTAATCCGCAACTTGAAAGGGGAGAACACTTCCTTGACAAGAGCATAGAATCTAGGCATACAACCATTATTATCAAAAATAGCCCAGAATTGATCAGCAGCGAAACAATCCTCTGCCCTATCTTTCTCAAAATCACTAAAATCTGGATCAGGACAGCAAATCTCTGAATCGGGAGGGAAATCTGGATTCAGTGGAGAATAATTATCGGCTTTTGACTTTCTATCATCAAGATCTGACTTGGATACATCCTTTCTTTGCACTTTTGACTGCTCAATTTCGATTTTATTCCTTAAGAGCGTTTCTTCAAGTGAGGCACTTGCTTTGTTACTCACGTCACCATTTTGACCACTCACCCCCACAGTGAAACTAGCTGAATTTTTGTTATTGAACAATCCACTACTTGCAGGCACTTCTCTTTTCTCCACTTCAGTGGCATTAAATGATTCATATTTTTGTGTCCTTTTGGAAGAACTCTCAAAATCACCATCTTGAGCAGTTTCTGTGCATGAAACATGTTGCTTTTTCCTGGAAGATCTCCTAGGGTGTACTCCTGCATTAAGTCCAGATGGATCAACACCATTTCCAGCCTTGTTATCATCTCTCGAATCTGATGCTGACTGCCTTGCTCTCTTACTTCCAACATTTGTTGAGGATTGTGATTCCTTGGCTTTAGATGTAGCACGGTTGGATGTTTCAACACCACCCTTTGTCTTAGAGACAGGAAAAGACCGCACAAATTTATCCTCCTGTCCTCTACCACAAGGTTTTCCACCATTACTTTTTGATGCTGCTTTTGGTGACACATGCTTTGGAGCCTCTTTCTGGTTATCAAATGATGACCGTGTATATCCTGGTGACACACCCTGGTGCCCCAAATCATGAGCTCTAAAGGATTTAGAACATTGTTGACAACGTAAGGTAGCATTTACAATGGTTTTGTAGTACTCATACCTAGTATTACAATGTTGGCAAGATGTCCAGAATGTCTGCTGTTCATCCCGCTGATGGGAACTCCAAGTACGGGAGTGTGAATTAAAAGTATTCTGATAATTTCTTGCATTTCCATCACATTTTGACCCAAATGAGCTCCCATTTGAGTGATGGGATGGAGCCTTCGGTGCTGTATTTCCCCCAAGGACTCTAATCCTTATGTCATATGAAGAACGCTTTGTTTGGTCACTCAACATTCTGTTAGCTTCCCCAATCAACTTGAAAGCAGCCTCTGCACCAGCAGAATTATTTTTATCAGGATGAAGTAACAGTGCAAGCTTCCTGTACTGTTTCTTTATAGTTGCTTCATCAGCGAATCGTTCAGTCTGAAGAATTCCATACCAGTCCATGTCAGACCCAGAGAGTTTGTTCTGTGCAGCACAGTGAACCTCACAAACAGTAAGGATCTGAGCAATGTTTTGAATGTCAGGGAACAGTCTTTTGGCTTTTGTAGCAAACTTCAGTGCCCCTACAAAGTCACCACTTTGCATTCTATTTTCAGCAATTTGCTTAGCCCTTAGAGCTTCATCCTTGTTGCATTCCATGGGAGAATTGAAATAAAAAAACCCAATTACCTCAGCTCTTAAACCTCAGAACAATACATAGACAGGGAAACTTTTTCTGTCTGTTCACAAGTTCATAATCCAGACGCGGTGCACCATTTTTACCTGATTTAAACAAGCCAAACCCCCAATGAATCATTTAACAAGAACACTATGTATTACTTGCATAAACAAAAACACATTAAATATAGACAACCAGATGATGCCTGCACATGAAAAGCCAGCATCCTAGAAACAGAGATTTAGACTCTGAAGCAGAGACAATAAAACTGAGACAAAATCTATCTCCTTCAAAACAGAAAGGTTTGATTTAAGCGATCAGCCTCTTTTGGAAATGCAAGGTAAGGGTGCCTACCACCTACTATACGCCCTTACTTGGGCGGTGTGGGACCTTTTTTTTGAGTTAACCCAATCCTAATTACCTCTTTGACGCGAGTTGGCTCCCTCGGGTATCCCCACAAACTTCGACTCTTTGAGGTGGCTATGCGACTAATCCGGAGTGCGGGACGGGTCAGGGATGAAGATATTTAGACCCCTCCTAAAGGTGGCATCTGGGGATCGAACTGAGGCTCTTTCCTTTCCACTTACACAGCTCTCTTGCTACCAACTTAGCTACCACCATTTGTTTATGTGGGAGCTTTATTATAACCCCAGAAGTCCTTTATAAACTTAACAAGTAAACCCAGGAAGCATGAGATTTTCATTTCAACTCTACAACTACCAAATTTTGCAATTAGAAAAGTAAAGGTATGTGTTGCAGCTAATTATACAGAGAACAGATCACAGGTGAGTATAATAATATGGAAATCGAAATGAACACATAACATATAATAATATAATAAGTACCTTAAGTTTAGGCATGAACATGGAAGTTACCGCAGCTACCAGACAGCATAATCTAAAGTCTGAGTTACAAGATTGGAACCGAACAATCCAAACAGAAATAAAGAAGCAGCAGTGCAAACAGTTTCACCTAAAACCCTAAATCGCAATCCAAGGAGGAAATGAGTTGCGAGATCGAAATATTTGGAGGGATATCGATGGAAAAGGAAAGCGAGAGATAAAGGGAACTTACTTGCACCGCGAATGCGACTGTGACTACGGTGGTCTTGTTGATGTAGCTCAGAGTTAGATAGTTGAAAACACCCAACCCACAACACATTCCCTCCCAAGTCTAGCTATGTATACTAACATTAATATACAATATAGTGAGATAGTGTGTGTTTGTGTGAGCTGAGAGCAGGAAGTGAAAAATGAGACAAGATTTCAAGAGAGAGAGGGAAAATGAGAAGAAAGGACGAAGGCTTCAATGTAGAAGGCCCCTGCAACTTGCTCAAATTATTGTTTCTCTTACTCGAATTCAAAGAAACTTCCAGATAAAATGCAAGGCCAGTCATGTAATTTCCACCTACTCTCGTATCTCATTTAATACACGTGATAAGATCTTGCACGCTTAAACGAATTTCATACCACGTGCCGACACGTTAATTTTAAAAAATATTATATTTTAATAAGTTAGGATACGTTTTGATATTAAACAAAGCTCTAATTAAAATTAAATAGGCAATTACACATGGAACCAACTAGCGCAATAAAATGCATAAAAATAGAAACCACCTAAAACTACCTCTACTACGACTCTACCCACTTTGTTAGGCTTATGAAAACTGTCAAGACTTATTCAAACAAAATTCAAATACTAATCTAGTAACTAATTAGCAACAATAACAAAATAATAAAATAAAACTAACAAATCGTAACAGTTATACTTATCACTTTTTTTCTTACTATCTCTTACAACTAATGTTGGATCAAATGGCATCAAGTTAGAGGCATTAATTTGATTTTGATCTAACAATAATCGTAAGAGTAAAAAAAATATATGGTAAGTATAACCCCCGAACGTATTATGCCTACTTTTTTATACCTATTTTATCTACTATTCTCAAATATCGGTAAATTATAATGTCAACCAACAATGAAAAGAGAGAGAAATGGTGAAAGTTGATTGAAATTATGATTTAACCATATTTGTGAAAAGTAAATAAAATAGACATGAAAAAATATAAATATAATATCTTATCCCTTAATATAGACATGCCATGATTTGTTTATAAACAAGTTAAATCAATGGTTGTTTTGTTTATTAATAATTAAACACCATTGATTATCCTAATGTTTTTTTTTTTCTCGTGTTTCATCACTGTTGATTTGTTTATTAATAATTTAAATGATCTCACATGACTTTGTAATATTAAATGACATATGAGAGAATCCATTTCCTCTTGAGAATATTTAAGTAGTGAATTTGTTAGAAATTAACAAAGTGAAGACCATATAAATCTCCAAAAGACCTATTAACATATAGTCTTAAAGTTTAGGATTAAGATATGATGTCAACTCACTTATTGTGGTTTGTCATTTGGTCCATTAGTGAATATATCATTTGTAAATGATTTTGGCCTCCCCAAAAAAGTTGCCCTTAAGGTCACACTTGAGGGAAGGATATTGAAAATATTCAAGTGAGTAGTGGTGAAGTTCCATATCGGTTAGAAATAAACAAAGTGAAAATCGTATAAATACAAAAGACCTATGAACCTATAGTCTTAAGGTTTGAGGTTGAGATGTGATATTAGCCTACTTATTGTAGTTTGTCATTTGCCGAAGACTAGTGTGACTCCCAATATTTTGAAGAGTAGAAACCTCTACTAAAGCTGCCCTTAGGGTTACACTAGAGGGGATGATGTTGAAAATAACCAAGTGTGAGTAGTGGTGAAATCTCACATCAATTATAAATAAACAAAGTAAGAATCATATAAGTACAAAAGATCTATTAACCTATTGTCTTTAAGATTTTGAGTTGAGATGTGGTTTGTCATTTGACCCAATGGTAAAGACATTATTTGTAAAGGATTTTGGGTTGAAAATATTCAAGTGTGAATAGTGGTGAAATCTCTATTGGTTAGAAATTAACAAAATGAGAATCATATAAATGCATAAGACTCAATAAATTATAACCTTAAAATTTTGAGTTAAGATGTTGTGTCAGCTAACTTATTATGATTTGTCATTTGTCTCATTGGTGGAAGTGTCTTTGCAAAGAGTTTTTAAAATGTTTTTGTGAAAGATAGGCTTGTTAGATTAAGGTTGATTGGGTTACATTCATAAATTTTACCCTACTCGATTGAATGAGATTTGATCTTGAAGCTTCAAGATGGAGTAAACTAATGCTGAAGCGTCACGTATATTAAATTTTTAAATATGAATAAATGGTTTCTGACTTTGCCACTGCTAGATTGTTCTTCCTTACTGTATTTGTAATTTGGATTTCATCGTCATGAAACAGTTGGAAATATTTAAGTGTGAGTAGCAGTGAAATTTCATATCGGTTAAATATGAATCAAGTGAAGACTATATAAATGCGAAAGACTTATAAATTTATATATTTAAAGTTTTAGGTTGAGATGTGATGTTAGTGCATTTACGATGATTTATCGCTTAGGCCCGTAAGAGGAAGAATCATTCATGTAGGTTTTGAGCTCCCCTGCCATTCTCAACAGAAACTTGAGTGGAAAAAGTTAATGAAAGGGTAAAAATAAGAAAATAACTTCTCATCTACTTGCATCAAACAAAGATGGGAAAAGAAGTCCATAGAGCACCGTCATACATATTTAATAACCTTCTACAAACAAGTCTTCTTGCATTGGCCCATTTCAACTTATTACAAAAACCGAAGCTAGTTTTAAGCTGCATAAACCAATGGCGCGCTAGTCCACGACATTTGATGTGTGAGTATCAAAGCAAATTTGCAATTATGCATGTTTCTCCATCAGTTGTCTAAATAAATCTTCAGGTGCTGGAATTGAAGATAAAAATAAAGTCATGTAAATACTGAATAGCAAGGGAAAATGAGAAACTCAAAGGGTATATATACGGGGTTAACTTTTTCTACGATTACTTTAGATAAATTATCTGTCGCGCGCGATTTCAACTATGTCTTACCGATAAGACATAGATGAGATAATAAAGTTTTTTTTTCTCCCCAGACATTGTCGGCTGATGTGACAAAAAAAAAACAATTTTACCACTATAACTGTGTCTGGTAAGCTCCAGAAAAAGTTATCTAAAGTAAATTTAGAAACTTTTTTGCTATATATATATATATATGGGAAGGATCCACTCACAAATTTTTTTTACAAATTACACTAAATATGACCAGTCATACACTCTTGATTAAAGTATGACTGGTACTTATTGTAGTTTGTAAATAAAAAGTTTGTAATAATATTATATATATTATATATATATATATATATATATATATATATATATATATATATAGGGTTAGGATCATTTTACACCAGTGTAAGTTACACTCTTAATCTTGTCCACTGATCCCATTTATATCTAAGAGCTCAAATTTTTTAGTAATGTGAGCCATTGGATACAAGTGGATCAATGGTCAAGATTAAGTGTAAGACTTCTAACTCTTACACCTAAGAATATCCTGCCATATATATATATATATATATATATATATATATCCTTGTTGGCTAGTTTAGTTTGTTTCATGTTACCAGGTAAGCCGGTGAAGTTTTTGTACTGCTCAAAGCCTTGGCGGATCAACATCTCTGTCCCGTATACAATAGCAGCTCCGGTTTCTTTTGCATCTCGCAATAGCCTGGTGTCTTTGGGTGTGTAAATAGCATCAAACACTAAGCAATAATGCTTCAAAGCATGCTGCAGATCAACAATTGAATTCCTCACAATATAAAAGACGTGAATTTGATTAATGCCAAATTTAATACGCATGAAAACACATGTATTTGCAGGAAAGAGTATAAATTATACAGCGTGCCATAGACTGCCGTGGAATGTGGTAGATATTATTTGAGTAAGAGGAAAATGGACATGGGAAAAACTTAAATTAAAATCAATTATTAATACTTGCTATTTTGGTTTCTCTCAAATTTTTACCTACTCAAATTGGCATCATGGAGAAGGATATTAACCGAGATGGGGTGCAAACCTTTGGTACGGGGGTTTGATCAATATTAGGCTTCATTCCTACAGATGTTGTATTTGCAAGCACCATCCCTTCTTCTGGGTGGAAATTTTCCACTTCACTCAGAGTCATAGCCTTTCCACCAACTTTGTCAGCTAATTCTTTAGCACGTTCTGCAGTAAGTAGACATCACTTTATGGAGCATATCTTTGGTATCACAAAGTAAATACTTCTTTACTAAAAATAAATAATAGAACTTAAAGTAACAATAACCATAAAAGAATGGATACAATGAATTAAGTCGTTTACATTATTTTTTTCTTCTAAATTTAGTTCAAGATATTTAAGAATGGATACAATGTACTTAATCGAATCTTCACTATTTACTACGAGAGTATTAAAGATATTTTTCACTTTGTGATTCGAGTCTCCGAGTTATCACAAGTATATCAATTTCCAGCTCATTGATTATTTTGCTCTTATTTTGAATTATTTTTATCATTTTGCCCTCTTCCTAAACTACATTCCCATTGGTCATTCTTTTTAAATTATATATCAATATGTCTCTATTTAATCAAAGTTTGATCGACACTAGTCCTTGCTAAATCATTTACTCGAAAGTCATTTACTCGAGCAAGTGTCGATTGATACTTTGATCAAATAAAGACAAATTGATATGTAATTTATAAAGAGAGACAAATTGATATATAATTTATGAAGAAGGATAAATTAGTGAATTTCTTTTAAAATAGGGACAAAATAGTTGATCAACCACAATTTTCCTCTATTCTTGGCAATAAAAAAAAAGTCAAATGTTATATGTATGCACCTAACATTGTTTTCAAGGCAAATTTTCTTAGGGAAAAGCTAATATCATGTTACTGTAAAATCTTGTTTTCTCCTACTCTTAGATTGTTTTCCGTGCTAGCTTTTTTGTTTATTTTTTTTTCTAATATTTGATGGGCCCTACAAAAACATGTCTCTATGACATGATGTATTCATTTTGCTGTTACATAACATTCACGAAACCCATTTTCTTAAGTCTGCCAATAATGATTTTTGAGGAGCATTCAACTCAACAGTCAACGCCACAATAGGTTTCATGTTATCTTACAATGTGGAACTACATGCTAATGTATTACCAAACGTGCGGTTAGCAACTACAACTCTTGCCCCTTTCTGTGCAGCACCATAAGCAAGTGATTTCCCAGCACCACCAGCTCCTAGTACAACAAACAACTTGCCAGCCAAAGGTGATCCAAGTGCTGGTATTGCACCATCCAAACCTGTAAAAGTGAAGAAAATCAAATAACCATTGAGTTGAGAATTTTATTTTTTTAAAATCTGATTTTACATTAGTTGTGGAAGTCAATTAAGAACCTCGTAATCCATCCTCAATGGCAGTGATAGCTCCGATGTAATCAGTATTAAAAGCTATTAACTTTCCATCGGGTCTCCTAACAACGTTATTGATAGCTCCTATTTTCTGTAAGAATTGAAAAAATCATTTATCAGGTAACATCTTATTTCTGTGCTGATACATTTAACTAGCACTTTCTATTTTAAGAGGATAATGACCAGTACCTTGGCAATAGGATCAACCTCATCCATGCATTTAATTGCAACCTCCTTATGAGGAATTGTGCAACTGCATTTTATAATTTAAGTTATATTATTACTAAACTTCATGACTAAAACCATGTAAAAACAATTGAATTTTTTGTTGAATTAAATTTTATTTGACACTTTTTTTTCCAAAAGACTGAAGAGAGGACAAAGGAAGAAAAGAAGTAAAAATATGTAGCATCGAATCAGAGAGATAGAGAACCTGCATCCAGAGGCAAAGTCAGGGGATGAGTAAGTATTGAAAAACTTGTCCACATCATCCACCAAAAAGTGCATATAAACTGCATTTAGCCCAACTAACTTGAAGGCTGCATTGAACAAAAGAGGACTCTTACTGTGACCCACTGGCTTTCCTATAATTCCATATACTTTAGTATCAGGCCTTATAAGCCTGAAATTGTACAGTTCTAGCAAATCTTTTACTGTTGTTTGTCCAGGAGCTGAGATAGCATCCGCATCTAGTGCACCATATGTGAGATAACAACCAAATTTGGGACTTAGTAACCGAGAAATTGTACCCCTCTCTCCCAGTGCAATTCCTATTGTTGGGATCTGCCACTTGTCATGTGCACATATATATATATATAGAGGCAGTAATCAGAAACAAGATATCAAACTAAAGTCCAAGAAATGCAACATAGTTTCAGGCTGCAATACGGATGTAATGTTATTATGCATAACTTACCTGTGAATGTACAGTGATTTGGAAAATACGTGCACAATCTGTAATGTCCAATGCAGTGGTCACTATCTTCACAATGTCGGCTCCGGCGGCTTGTATTCTTGCTACCAGATTGCCAATGGCCTCAGATGACGGAGTATCGTAAAAATTGTGTGAAGATACTATCACCTTAAAATTATCGGGCTTCTTTCCATATAGGGAACTATTGAAGTCATGAGCAACCTATATGCAAGGGTAGATACACATTAAAATTGTAACATCTTGCATAATATCTATTTTATACACGTGGATAATCTTTGGTATCTATATTTTTCGTAATATATGGATGATCTTTGACTTTACATAACCTTCTATGTACAATGTAACCATCCCAACAATGAGGAACAGTGACCATTTTGTCACGCTTGGCAAAATTCTTTTCCAAACTGCCACGTCAACAATAAATTTTGCCAAAATGTCACGCGGCATATTTCGCTACACTGTGTAGCGAAATATGTTTGCAAGTAATTCGCTACACAGTGTAGCAAAATATGTCATGTCAGATTGCACAGTCAGCAAAAATAACACGTGTCAAGCAGGCCGAAATTCGCTACACTGTGTAGCGAATTACTCTTGAATTCTGCCTGCTTGACAATGTCATTTTTTGCTAATTGTGTGTCCTGACATGACATATTTCGCTACACTGTGTAGCGAATTACTTGCAAACATATTTCGCTACACAGTGTAGCGAAATATGTCGCGTGGCATTTTGGCAAAATTTACTGTTGACGTGGCAGTCTGGTAAATTTTTTTGCCAAGTGTGACAAAATGATCACTCTTCCCAATAATGATGTATTGAAGTATAATTACTTCTATATTTATGTTTAGAGAGTCCCATCTAAGAAATGACTTCTGTATAGAAAATTTCATGATTTGTGGAATAAGAATTTTGGTTATATTCTCATACTTTTCTCTCTCTATTTCTCTTCCTTCATTTTATAACATGTTATCAACACGATTTTGTTTATACAATAACTAACAAAGGAAGGCTTTTTTCTCTACATTAATAAAGCAAACATGAATCTCTATCAACCAAGTCTTTAAAGTGATCAAGTTGAACGATCTCTGTAATATGTCCTTAAAGGATATCCTTCAAGTATTATGACTAATGAATCTAAAATATTAAATGATATTGTTCCTTGATAGAAATAAACCAACTTCAAAGTGACACCTCAGAAGAGATCAATGATATTTCATTAATACATTAACAACTTCAAATCTCTAGAAAAGTAATGCTAAAGTAGTTCCTATACCCAAAAATTACAAGATCTCATTAAAATCTAGAAATGTGAGGGGGGAAATATGAAGTTATTAATTATGTATATGTAATTGCTTCTAAAAATAATCATTATAAAAGAATGTTGACATCAAATGATTGACCAAAAAATAAAAAGAAACAATAAAAATTACGTTGGATTCATTAGGCCAGTATAAAGTATAGTCATTAAAACACCTAAAGATATCAAACACAAACAAATAAAGAAAAAGGGATAAATTAAATGAAAATCGTGAAATATATATTATCAAAGGCATATTCCCTTACTTTTGCATTCTTTTTATTAGTTTGGTCTTGAAAGACTTGCAATACATCTAATGAATATAGTGACAACATACTCCATGGTTCATTGGGTAATAACTTTGAAAATCCTTGAAGGACAACAAATGTGTACTGGGAGGCCCTTTTTTGGCCCAATATCAAAACCTGCATCTAGAACCTTCTAAAGGGTTCCCCCATCAACATAGGATTCCCTTCCCCCTATTTTTGCATTGTTGCCCCTGTACATAGATAGTGGGTTCAGCATGCCTAGTCTGAAAAAGCTAGGCTGACTAGGTGACAACTCTGGACATTCTCTCTCTCATGCTTGACAGAGACATCTCTCCCTAAATATCCCCTCACACATGAAAAAGGGGATCTTCTTCTCTATTCTCCAAGAGAACTATTACTCTGCCTTTATGCAAAGTCATTCTAACCATTCACACACGCTCCCACTTGGTGCACGTACATGGGAAGCTTTTACAAAGCCTTGGTCCATACCATGACTGTTGAAAGTACCCCTAGATTGACATATTACACTCTCGAAGGGTACATCTATGAACCCCCACCGGTTCAAAGTGCAACATATGGATGATGTTATTTATGGATCATTATATAACGCTATCAACATGAAAGTCCGTGAAGGATTAAAAAATGCCTGAAGTGTATTACTCAACCTCAAGAGATGTATTCCATAAAATTAAAGAGTATTTAAAAATATCTCCATTCATCTATATGTTTTTATCAATAGTTACTACTATTGCAATGTATGATTTAACTATCAATGAGAGTCCTGAAGAAATTGAGAAAAATACAAAAATATTTAATGAACTTGAAATGAAATAATCAGGAATTTGCTTCGGAAGAGCCTAGTGTTGTGCTAGATCCCAAAAAGTATGTTACCCTTGAAGCGATATAAACCCATGCAAAGATTTTTAACCCCTAGAATACTGAGAATTTCATTAAATATTATAAAGAGATTTGGTATCAGAATGAAATCATCGTTGGTAATGTTTTTTATATTCACAGTTACTTATAAAATTATGGTAGATGGACATGAGCCAAAATCTATTATTGAATGTTGTCAAAGATAATATTGGCCTAAGTGAAAGATTATGGTATTGGTATGCAATGAGTACACAAGATGAAAGGTTAATTAACTCCAGCAGTAGCTATATGACTCAACTGAGGATGAGTTACTACGAATGATGATCTATATTCTTTTTCTTTTAATGAGGTATTATCATTCAATGCATGATGACACTACTAAAAAAGCCTTTTTTTCGACGAAAAAATTCCCTCGAAAATGGTTAAAATTCAGTCGAAAATAAAATTTTTGACGGAATTATCGACGGAAATGTAGTCGTGGTGTATATCTTCGTTGGTAATGATTTTTTCGACGGAATTAGCGATTCCGTCGAAAATTGTCGACAGACATTATTTCCGTAAAAAATGAATGAAATTTCGTCAAAAAATCTGGTAATAATTTGCGACGGAAAATGAATGAAATTTCGTCGAAAATTTTCGACGAAAAATGAATTAAATTTCGTCAAAAAATGTTGTAACAATTTTCGACGGAAAATAAATTCCGTTGAAAATTTTCAACGAAAATGTATGAAATTTCGTCGAAAACTATTCTATCAATTTTTGACGAAATTGATTTTCCATCGAATTTTTTTATCTCTCTCTACAAAATTAATATCAATTTATGTTTTGCACCTGATAAACAAAAATAATTAAAGTTAATAACATATCAAAATGAAATAATCTTAATATAATTATGTGTACAAAAGTCTCTGCTATAGACTAATGAAAAGAGTCTTATAAATATAAAAATCTCTGCTATATACTGATCGAAAGAATGTTATATGTAAAAATGTCCAAGACTATAATGAATATTAAGGAGGGAGATCTATACGCACTTCACTCTTTCCCCTAACAAAGTTTTTGTGCCATCGGGTTTTTCTTAAAAAGATTTTAGTGTGGCAGTCGAATAGGTGTATGACAAAATGTGAATATCCAAGCAAGAATGTCATGAAATTATTAAGTGGATGTTTCACCTTCTAACCTAATGTCTTCCCCTATTTTCTCCTCTTTTTCTTTACATTAAATGATGTTATCATCAGGGGAGTAAAGTATGTGTTGCACTATTTTTTCCTTCACCAAGGTTTTGTTCTATGAGATTTTCCTAGTAAGTTTTTAAATGAGTCTGTCTCTAATAGCGTTACTAGAAATATATAAAAAATTTCCTTCATTAGGATTTTTTCCAAAAGATTTTTTCTTGTAAGGTTTAACGAGGTTGTTATCTAAATGAACTTTCAAGTGGAGTGTTATGAAATTATTAATAAAGTATATCCGTATATCAATTGATATTAGGCGAAATATGTTATCTATGAATATTGTATTCTTTTACATTTGCTAAGTTTCTATTCCACTGGATTTTTCTTAACAACGCTTTAACAAGATATATTTATAGTATATAGCCATCCAAAGGGGAATGATGCTCTCATGGTGACCATCTCAGAATGAGCTCAAACTTGGTTGGGCTCTCGGAATCTGCCTTCTGAGAAAGAATCATCTTTTTACGATGAGCACTAGTGTTTTTTGGGCTTTTAGGGTCAATTTTATAGAGTTTTTAAATATTTTTTATTTATCTTTTTTATTTTCATAGGGACAATTTCATAATTTTTATTATTTTGCTTTTCGTTGCCTATTTAAGGGCATTGTGAACCCTAATTTATTTGGTTATTTTTATTAAATAAATATTATATTGAGAGTTGTGGCTACTCTAAATTGTAGTTCATTTTTTTAGTCAATTTAGTATAACAACTAGGATTCAGAGTAGTCGCAACTCTTAATATAATCTTTATTGAATAAAAAAACAAAATAAATTAGGGTTCACAAGAATCACAATGCCCCTTAAATAGGCAACGAAAAGTCAAATAATTGAAATTATGAAATTGTACATACAGAAATAAAAAGATAAAAATTAAGTAAGAAATACTTAAAAACTCTATAAAAATGACACTAGCCCAAAAAACATTGGTGCTCATTGCAAAGGATTAGCCTTGACCATAAGGCCAATTCCAAGGGCTTGATCAAGTTTGAGCCCATTCTAATACGGTCACCTCAGGTGCATCAGGCAGGGGCAGATTTAGGAGGACTAGTGCCGCCGCCCTGCTCCCCTAAAACTTGAAAAAAAATTCGAGGTTGTCTCCTTCAGCTTCTTCCTCTTCTCTTCGTTGGTGGCGCAAGGGTTGAGGTCCGCGCTCAACTTGCTCAACAACAAGGACATGGATGAGGCTTTCAGGGCACACACAAATATCAAGGCTCTTAGTCTTAGGTTTGGAATGTTGGGACTGTCTCGGATTTCCTTTTCTTGATGGTTTCTATGGTTAATGTTATTAAGATTCGCTTGGGGATATGTTGTCATATGGTAGTAAATATGCTACTCATGTTGTTGCCGCCATGGTTGTCTTGGTTACAAATGCTCTTCAGTCTTTTGGTTTATATTTCCACTACTATCTATGCTTTTACCCATTGAAATTAAAAAAAAATAGCCAAAAATGTTTTATTTAGTTTTGCAAGTTTGTGTTTCAATGAGATAATGGTTGTTTTTTTATGGTTTTGTGATGGATCTTTTGTTCTATATGCTTGTAGAGAAGTATTTGCCCAAATTGGCGTTGAGAAAATTTTCACCACTCTTGTAGTAAACACTATTGTACTAAAATTAGAAAGATATGAACCCAAATCAGAGAGCATTGATTTGGAGAGGCTTGAAGCTCTTGTTGATGCGGAAAATATTGGCTCTCAAAGAGTGTTGGAGAAGCATAGGTGGGCATACGGGGGAATAACTTTCCCCCTTCCTCCGTATAAATTCATGGCTCCGCCACTGGCATCAGTGAGTGTTGTATAATTACATCCCTTATTGATATTTAGAGTCTTATATAAAAACATGATTCCATGTATGAAAAATTTGATAATTCATGAAATAAGAATTTTGATGATATTTTCATATTTTCCTTCCTCTAATTTTCTCTCTTCATTTTATAACATAATAAACCAACTTGTATGTATAAAAAAAATAAAAAAAAATAAACCAACTTGTAAAATTATTAGAGATAGTTGATCCCCATATCCTACTAATGGTGGGAAATGATTCTTATTAAATAGCTACCTGAAGTTCAACATCAATATAATCAGCTCCCAGTTCCATTGCTAGTCGAAGTGCATTCTGTCTCTTGGCTTCATCTCCTTCATATTGACCCCCTTCCCATAACGGTCTGAAAAAGAGCATACACTTGTAGATTCATCGTAACTAAAGTGATATAATGCATGAAGTAATATTTTTTAAAAGTTTAAAATTATTGTAAAACATGCAAACTGTGTGGATGACTATCATATATAATTGGATATTAAAGGTTCATGACTAAGCGTTTATGTTATAATCTTTGATTGAAGCTTGCTGCAAATATTTTATGCATAAAATTTTAAGCTATTAAAGCAGAATTTTGTGTCAAAAAAATGGCTCAACTACACTTATAATGGCTCAAGGAGATTGAAGCTTTTAGGTTGACGGGCTTGATTTTATTCATTAGAGCTTATAAAAGATTTCGGCAAAAGAAATATTTGCCAAATATTTTTTATTTTACGAGAGAATGGAATATGTACAAAAAAAAAGTGAAAAGAAATATCTTTAATCATCAGATAAGGAGGAACAGTGAAATTTAACTATGTACTGCAGTACTGTATCTAAAAAAATTAGAAATTTATTGATGCACTTACAGTTGGTTCATTGCTCATAGCACAACTATTGATTCAAGAAATCCGGAGTCAAACAGAATTATGGCCCAATAAGTATGATCCAATTATTAAAAGAAATAGTAATTTGAAATATAACCCATTACGATCAAATCCAAGACCAAATGAAGTAACAGATATGATTATTATTTGTTTGGCAAGAAAAGGAAAGCAACACATTTGACATGATTTAAGATTTAAGATTTAGGACGTGTTTTGAATGATTTAATTATAATTATCTAATTATTTTTAAAAGTTAATTACCCTTATATTTATTTTAGGAATTTTCCTTATTTTTAGGATTTTAAATTTTAAATTTTGAATTTTGGATCAATTTGTAATTAATCTATAGAAGGGTGCTTATGACCCTTATTTGAGTTGAATTTTGTTATTTTGTTAATAGAAGTTGAGAATCAGAGGGTTACTCTTTTATAAAATTCTAAATTTCCGTTTAGCCACTTTTTTATGCTCTTTCGGCATCATTTGGTGTCAGAGCACTAGGTTGTCTTCAACCAATGGCTGAACAAAATCATAGAGGTCGTCGATGGCGAAGTCGTGAAGGCAAGGGACATGGATTCATTCCTAAAGAAAACAGACAACCGAGTCAGATGAGTGTTATATAAAATGAAGAGCTTGGAAGACAAATCCAAGATTTGAAGCGACAACTTGAGCAACATTGAACAATAAAATCCAAGTTTTTAAGCGACTACTTGTGCAGGCGCAGAGAAAGAAAATTCAAGATTTATAGTGATAACTTATGGAGGCGCAGAGCATGAAAATCCAAGATTTGGAGCAGCGACTTGCGCGAACAAAGTGAGGCATTCAATCCGAAGAAGGAATGAAATTAGAGGAAACATTTGATGACGAAGAAGATGATGTCAATCCATTTGGGGATTCTAAACCAAGGACGAAATTGGAAAGTATAACTGGAGACCAATCCACCTTTCAAGATATCGATGCAACTCAACATTCCTAACTTCGATGTCTATGATCATAACACAGTTTTTGATAATTATGCGATTTATGATGATTTTTCCATTTATGATAATTATCCATTTTATGAAGAAAATTCATTTTATGATGATAATTCAATCAATGAAAAATCTGATGGATAATTTGAAGATCTAATAGAGAAAGAATTATTAATTGAGTTTTACCTGAAGAGATTGATATCAGTGAAAATGAAAAATATTCGAGGACGAATCTTTTCCAAGTAGGGGAGAATGATATGCACTCACAATTGACCCATTGCGCATGACACAACCATTGATTCAAGAAGCCCAAAGCCAACCAAAATTATGGCCTAATAAGTATGGCCCAATTGCTAAAAGAAAGAGTAATTTAAGATATAACACATTATGATCAAATCCAAGACCAAATGAAGCAACATATATGATTATGATTTGTTTGACAAGAAAATGAAAGCAACACATTTGACATGATTTGAGATCTAAGATTTTATATGTGTTTTGAATGATTTAACTGTAATTATCTATTTATTTTTAGAAGTTAATTACCATTATATTTATTTTAGAAATTTTTCTTTTTTTTAGATTTTGAATTTTGGATCAATTTGTAATTAGTCTATAAAAAGGTGCTTATGACCTTTATTGTAAGAGTTGAATTTTGTTAATAGAAGTTGAGAACCGAAGAGTTACTCTTTTATGAAATCCTAAATTTTTGTTTAGTCATTTTTCTATACGCTTTCGTCATCATTTATAGTTGCATTATCCAAAAAAAAAAAAAATTATAGTTACATGTCGTAGAGTGCAGGAGTATCTTTACGTGATTTGTTAGTATTTTATAGAGTAAACTATGAGTCAATGAATTTATAAACTATCAATCAATAAGGGTGTGCATGACAACCTTCCCGAAATCAATTTTTTTAATTTCTGTTCCCGGGAAAATAAATGGATAGAAAACTCGTTTTGTGAAACCGGTTTACTTTTTTGTTCCTGTGATGAACTGGATTAATTTTTGTGCTCAGAAACAAAAAAAGAATCAAAAAATTTATATTTTTTTGTTTCTGGGCACAAAATGAGAAACATTTGTCTCTCTCAATCACTCTTCACCACTACTATCACCTCCACCAACCACAACCATCATCGCAGCCACTACCGTCACCACCACCACCACCACTACCATCACCACGCCACCGCCACCTCGCCACCACTATCATCATCACCACCACCATCACCAACCACCACTACCATCGTCGCAGCCATTGTCATAGCCACCGCTACCAACTACCACCACCATTGTTGTAGCCACTGCCTTCGCCACCACACCATGCCACCACTAGCACTGCCAGGCCATCACCATCACTACCGCCACTACCACGCATCACCACCACCACCATTGCCATCAATATTGTCGTCACCACCACCACAATCATGCCACCACTATCGCCACCATTACTGCCATCACCACCACCACTACCACCGCTACCGCCACCACCACCATTACCACGCCACACCGTAGCTGCCATCGTCATCACCACCACCACAACATATGAAAAGGAAAGTGATGATTCGAAAAAATTTATGTTAATAGTAATTGTTTTTTATTATATTATTTGTTGTGTTATCAAACGCAATTCTCATTCTCAGAATAAAAATAAAATATGTTATTAAACACATATTTTTCTCATAAACTGTTCCAAGCCACAGAAATAGAAAAAAATTGTTTCTTTTCAGAAATAGTGCCAAGAAACAGAATAGTTACCTCACACATCCTAAAAGCTACTAAAGCATAATTTTGTGGCAAAAAGTAATAGCTCAACTACACAGGTTTAACTTTTAATAGTTTGTTTGGCCTTTTGTTCTTATTAGAGGAATTTCACAAATTTTGTGTGAAACTGGAAAAAATTTGTATGGTAAAAGATCCTTGCAAACTTTGGAAAAAAAGATGACACAAGGTAGCTAAAGTATAACTTTGTAAGAAGGGTAGAATAGTTATATTAATTATAAACTCTAACAACTTGAGTGGAAAAAAGCATAGAAGAGTAAATGATAAAATAAAAAATAAAAAATAAAAAAATATAATGGAATAAGTGATTCAAAGGCAAACCACATGGGGTGGGGGTATTTGAACTTTTCTCAATTAAAAATATTCTTACCTAATATTTCTAATCTTAATATATACCATTCATTTTTAATTCAGTCTGTATAATTTACAGAGTTATAACTCCAATAGACAATCTTATAACAGCAACATATGTCGAGGACCAAATTGAAAACAATTATACATAGAGAGACTAATTTTCTTAAAATAAAATAAAATAAACAATTATTACATTGAAAATGAGGGTAACATTAACATGTGACCAAAATATATTTTAACGTATAAAAAAATTTGAAAAACAAAACTTGCAAATACGAGGTATATGGTTAAAAGTGAATGTACATAGATATAAAACTGTCTTAACTAGGAGGTTATGTCCCCTACCTGTAAGTGACAATAGTGGGTAAAGGACTGTGCTTTATGAGAGTTTCAAGATCGGGTCTTGCGTTAAAGCTTCTCAAACAATCAAGCCGGATCTCAACGAGGTCAGCGCCAATTTCCTTGGCCCTTCGCATCTCAATCAGCATCTGTGTGATTGTGGTTCCAAGAAGCGGTGTGCATACAAGTGTAGGACTGTTTCCAACTCCACTGGCACCCTTTTGTGGATTGGAGGAGTCCAACTAATTCACATTTATAACATGCACTCCCATTAATGTAACGAAAGATTTGATTTAAGACTATGTAAACTTTTAAACATGTTCATCATAACTACTTGAATGCTAGTACAAGCTAGACAAAAAAAAAAAAAGAACACAAATTAATTTGTATGTGGCAATGTTCGATACGTGATCTTTCGATCATAAAAGGAATAATTTTATCACTACAGTTAATTATATATATCAAAAATTAAAAAAAAATCTCAAAATTGAATCAAGTGAGAAACAACTGCGGATGAGAAAAATCTTATGAGAGTTTAGATTCAAACCCTTGTTCAGTTACCCCTATTTGAATTCGTAACCTTTTTAATTAAAAACAAAACAACTTATCATTGCAGTTAGTTATATTTATTAAAATTAAATAAACGTCAAAATTGACTAAGTGGGGGACAATGATGCCAAATTGTGTCAAATGAACTTACGAGTTTGATCTCCATTGACATTATTAAAATCAAAGTTGAATCTATTTTTTAAATTAAAAGACAAAAGGATGAAAAGAGAAGAGATTACCGAAAGGCTTCCCATACTGAAAGAGTATCCAGCTAGGTAGTACTAGTGTGTTGAGTGGTTCTCTTAGAACCTACCTAGATCAGCTATAGAAGATATTCCAAGTTGGTGCAAGGAGTTGGCTTGGGTGTAAATATAAAAAGAGAGCACTGGTTTGGTTGATCCACAGCACATCGAGTACCAACGGGTGTTCACGAGAATATCTTGTTGACTCGTCGTTCCAAACCTGCTTGACTATTTCGTTGACAAACTCGTGCCCTGCATTTGACAACCAGAGTTAATTAGGACGGAACTCTAAGAGGGTGTTTGGTAGGCAGATAGAAATCTTGGAAAAGTGGAGTAGCTAAAATATGTTTATTATGTTTAGTACGAGTTGCACTTAAAAATTACTAGTATATTATTTTTTCCGTGAAAATCGTTTTCAACTAGACTATGGCAAAATAAAAATGTCATTTGAACCATTGTATTGTTCTAATCCCATGAACAGAGAAACACTTTTTATAATTTGTAGACAAAAATGTCCTGAAAAGTCTATTTTTCGGTACAACTTGTATGAAACACGATAGATACCCTAAAAAATTGTGTGGCCTTAAACACCATAGCATAGTTTCAATATTTTAACATAATAGTTAATTTCATAATGTTACTGTACATTTTCATCAATATTTTACTATCAACTAAATATAATATTAATAAAAATAATCCAACTTTTTCAAAAAAAAAAATTTACATCCCAAACATCTTTTTATAATTTATTCGGACAAAAAAAAAATTCATCATATTCCAAGATTTTTTCAATAATAAAAAATTTCTCTTATTCCAAATACTATGGAGTTTGTGAATAATACAGTAACTACTTTTATTTAATGCAGTGTGTACTCTGATATTAATTCATTAAAGTGAGTTTTCAAAAGCTACCGAACTTTTGGGAGGGTTTTTAATGCAATACCAACGATGCTCTCAGACTTTTCATAAAACGGAAAATGTCTTAGACTTATCGACCTAAAAATATATGTCAAACACTTTTTACATGCAAATATTCGATTTTCACGGAGAATTTCTTTTCAGCTTTAGAGGACGAGAATTCATCTTCCAAGAAACATAATCGCCATTAAATAAGGGAATTAAGCCCATACAACATATGGACTCAATGGTGAAAGTTCTTCGATTCCAAGGCTTCATTAGAACGTCTAGATTTTTTTGTGGTTCCACCTTCCATGCTGCCCTTTGTGTTAGTAAAAAAATAAAAATAAAAAATTGCTTTCTTTTTAAAGAAGTGCTATTTTTTTCTTTTGATATAATTATTAACATTGATAAGACTCACATAATTAGGGAAGTTTATACAATCTAGAGGTGATTATTTGAATTAAAAACATGTTTTTAATCTGTATAGATAAAACAAAATTATTACTGTTGAACGACAATATTTAGTGGTGATGAACTGACACTATTAAGTGTTTTTAAATTCTATTTCTCAAAAAAAAAAAATTAATTTTAGGGTTTGGTATTTGTCCTTTTAAAGGATATAGAATTGTATTCTTTTAAGTGAAAGAAAGAAATACAAAATGAGAATCATGGGAGGAGAAAATGAGTTATTTTTTTAATTTAAATTTTAAATAAAAAATACTAGTTTAACTAAAATGACCATCCTTTAAAAGAACAAATATTTTTTCCTTAATTTTAATGGTATTGCGTGAACACTTTTTCAAAATTCAAGAATGTTTATGCCTGATAAATAATGTAACTCTTTCAGTTTGATATAAGCCTTTTAAGTTGTAAGTATATACCAAATAGTAACTCTTAATAAAAACAAATCAATATTTCAAGAATTTGGGAAGTTGATAACTCCATTTTTAGTCATATTCATTAGTTACAAATCACTCTAATGCGTTTTCTCAACAAAAATAATCAAAATCTTTGCCAAACACTTTTTTTAAAAAATTTATGATCTTAATAATTAATGCTTTTAGGGAGAGATTATACTTATTATCTCTTTTTTTACTACCTCTTATTATCAAATCTTAATCGTTAGTTTCTGTCAATCTAACGGTTATAATTTATTGGAAATTAATAAGCATGACCTAATAAATTACAATCGTTAGATTGAAGGAAATCAACGGTTAATATTTAGTACTAAGAGATAATAAGAAAAAGAAGGAATAACTATAACATCCCCATATTTTTAATGCACTTTTTGAAAAGCATTAGTCACAAAAATTATAGACAATTATTTTTTAGCATTCATTTATTACTGATTATATTATTTTCGCCACTTTTTACCTTTTCGGTTTGGTCTTAACAATAGACTTCGTTTTATTTTTCTTCTTCTTTAATATTGTTGAACTTTGAACAAAAATTTTTTTAGGTCTGAACAAAACAATAAACTTTTTTGGGGGTTAATAAAATCAAACACAAAAAACTTTCGAAAAGCACATAATTTCCAAATGGGCCCGCAGCCAGCACCCTATGAATGCTCACTATCTGATTTACGAAGAAGTGCTTCTTGGGGTCTGACGTTCTATACTCGGTTTCACAAAAATATTTCAAACCACGTAAGATCAGAGCGAAGGCCCAGAGAAACTAAGCAACTACGAGACCCAAGTTGACAACATCCCATTCCTAAGACCACAAAATAAATTAAACAATGCCTTTCAGAGGCATCCCTTATAAATGTTGCCTATTATTTCCACTTTTTTTTTTTTATTGCATTATAGTTGCAGTCGCAACTAAGAATAAGGTTCTTAATATATATATATGTATATATATATATATATATATATATATATATATATATATATATATATATATATATATATATATATATATTACGAGAGATGTGATGTATATGAAATTCTTGATAGTTGCAGCCTCCATCAAGTGGCATGATCAATTATATGTAAGCGTCACCATCAAAATTTGGATAAAACAATTTCCCGCATAAATTCTTCAGGTGCTGCACAAAGAGAAAACCACCATGAATGAAAACTATTTAAGGTACCTTGGTTGCGTTGCTACAGGGCAACCAATATACTGAAAGAAATTTATTTCTGAATTGACCAAGAAAAACAAGTTGTATTTGCTCATGTTTTTAATTAAACATATTAAGTGAGCATAAGTACATTAAACAATAAGTACATGTTTGCAAAATTAGTTGAATTAAAAATGCCATATCCTCTTTTAATGTAACAAATTAACTCTTAACATGAAAGGAGAAAATCAATAAGATGGTACCTTGTAGACCTGTGAATAAATTGAACTGAGCAGTAGCCTGCCTTAAGAACATTTCTACCCCACTTACGGTTATTGCACCCGCAGCATTTGCTTCTTTCAATAATCTGGTTCTTCGAGGTGTATACACAGCGTCAAACACTAACCGGTAATCTCCCAAAGTGGCCTTTAAGAAGAGAACAGCAATAACAATTAAACTCACGTCAAGCATTCTCTTTTTATTTAAATAAAGAGTGTAGAACCTCTGCCACTGAAATTCTATCTGTATTGGGATGCATCCCTATAGGTGTTGCATTTGCAAGAATTGCCCCTTTCTCTGGCTGAAACTTGACCAAGTCTTTGTAAGGATGAGCTTCACCGAACACAGCACTAGCAAGAGATTTTGCTCTCTCTTTTTGTACAAAAATAAGAGAGTAAGGTGACATATATACTTAATAAAGCCTATATGTCTATAGCAGTTTGTGTAACAATAAAATTCATGTATATAACCATAACATGCTGCATCAAGGTATACAAACTTCATTTATCAATATCATGCAGATCGAATTAAGGGTGCTTTTAGGGGAAGAAAATTGCATGATGTGACATTGTGACTCCAACATGAAAATGAACTAAAGTGAAATTAAAATTAACATGATATGCCTATATTTTATACCAAAATCAATGTCAAAAATGACTACACGAGCTCCTCTGCTTTTAGCTCCAAATGCCAGTGCTTTCCCAGCACCACCGGCACCAACAAGTACAAACAATCGCCCAGCAAGGGGTGAACCCAAAGATGCTCCACCATCATTGCAACCATGCTCTGATAATTGGTTCATGGGAATCAGTATTAGTTAAATTCATTTCAATTGTAATTTGAGCTTGCTAAAAAAGAAGGCCTTGATCAAAGAATATTTTCATTGAAATCACAAGAAAGAGAATAAGTCAGTGTCCTTCCGTAACAAGTAAAAGTGAAACATGCTCAATAACTACTGTTAAAGATGGAAAGCAATCTTGGGTCTGCATCTAACAATTCAAGTTTTAAAGAAAGTTTGTCCTTGATATTTTGGCCAAGTGATAAGGATTTTGACCTTTCACCTTTAGGCATATTCACCTAAAAGAAGCTAAAGCTTTTAGGATAGTTTGTTTTTCACAAATACATTTGATAAGTTCAAGGAAATTTTAATAAAAATAGTATTGGAGGAATATTACCTATGAGTGCATCCTCAATTGCAGTAATTGAAGCCTCACAATCTGTATTATAACCAACAAGCTTCCCATCTCTAGGTCTCCTTATAATAGTATTGACAGCTCCTATAGACTGGTGTAGAATGACATGGAAGAACAACCATGTATTAAATCCATTTTAATAGATTGTCATCAAGCAACAACATGCCATACTGCACTGATTCCCCTTAAAATCATTTTGGACAGATTAATGTTCCTTCAAAATAACTTCAGTTGCAGATGGTCAAAGAAAGATATTATGTTCAATTCTTAGAGAAAAAATATACAAAAATACAAACTTATTAAGAAGACACACTTAGCTAGATAGCTTACGGAAAAACATCTTCTAGTCATATTTATATCACCACCAAAACATATGTTTACATAATCATGTTATCAAATTAGGAATAATTCATTAATTCCATCTAAGAAAATTTTCTGTTGACTTTAATAAGCCATAACAAACAGGAAGGGTTACCAAGACAAGAAGCAAGAAAAAGATCCATAAACAGTGTAGAAAATAATTAAAGTTCAGCACGTCAGCCAAAAGTGATTTAAGCTTAAGTTTTCTTAAATTTATATCTTAAAGGAGAGGAGAGGAGAGGAGAGGTGGGCGAGCAGTGATAAAACTGCTCTTTTGTTACTGAAAAGTTACGGATACTGAGAAGAACTATTATGAAAGTACAGACCGAGCAATAATGCTGGTAATAAATAACAACTATGGAATATGGCTGAATTTTTACATTATCTTAAATGTTACATGGAAGAATAAGCCAACCTGGGCGAGTGGATGGACTTCATCGCAAAACCTTATAACTTCTTCCTTATATGGAATCCCAACACTACAGTACAAAAGAAAGAAGTAGATGAGAAATTTCCAAAGAAGAAAGAAATACGAACAGTTAAATGGTTGATGTGATAACAAAAAAATTAAAATGACATGGGGGGAGGAAATGTATCTGCTTAAGTTATTGTCTCAGAAGAGATTCATCCAAACCACAAAAACAAAATAGGAGCAGGACGAACAAAAGCTAGCTCAAAGGGTGATAGTGTCCCCTCACACGAGAGCCCTTTAGGCTAGAAGTGTGGATATTGCACGGACCCTTTGTGCTTTAATTTTAATTCCACTTTAAAGTGGGGGACGGTGAAGATCGAACTTGTGACTTTGTAGTCACTCAAGCTCTGATATCATGTAAAGAACCTTGGGATACACCACCCCAAAAGCTAGCTCAAAAGATGAGAGTGCCCAACGCCTTATAAAAGCCACATTAGTTGCCCACACAATCAACGTGAGACTATATATCTCAACAAAATATGACTCACAACTTTCAAGTAGATTAATTGCTAATGCGTGACATACCTAAAACCAGCAAAATCAGGGCTTGCATAGGTGTTAAAGAACTCTTTAAGATTATCAACAAACATAGGGACATAGATTCCATTATAGTTTACATGTCTGAAGGATGGATTATGCAATATAGGGCCCTTGCTGTGGCTAACTGGTTTTGAGATGAGCCCAAAAACTTTAGTATCCGCATTTACATGCTCCAATTTATAGGCTTCTCGGAGACTGTCCAGAGAAGGCAGACCCGGGATTTGATTTCCAGCCAAAGATCCATACACGAAAAACCCACCAAATTTTGGACATAGAAGCTGGCTTATCAATCCCCTTTCTCCAACAGAATAAGCAATTAGTGGTGCCTGCAAATTGTGACCAAAGCAGGTGTTCCATTAGTGTTTGTCACATTTCCAAATTTTTATATTAGAAACTATGCTTCTCCCTTCAAAATCATTTCCCTACTGAATGTCCAAACTTTGCCAACCCTTTTTTCTTCCTTCACCAGGTCCTCAGACCTCCTTTGAACCAATAAATAAGTTGAAAAAAAAAAAAAAAAAACTCATGCCTGACAATAAGGAAGCAAGCTAAATATTCTTGTAATTTCTGTTATATCAGCTGCATGTGTGACAAGTTTGATGATACATGCTCCAGTAGCTATTATTTTGACAATAAGTTGAAGGAGTTCTTCTTTCGGAGGAGTGATGCCATCCACACAGCAGGAAACAATTATTTTGACAGGACTATTATGATTTCTCTTATGTCCCACCATGGTCTTAAAACGAGAAGCAGCCTGAACAACCAACCATAGAATGTAACTAAAGGAGATTTACATAATAATAAAAAATATTATATACACAGTTTAAGTGTTAAATGTTGACAACCCTGTGAAATACCACTCTCTGCATGCCAGGGTCAATCTAAAAAAGCATCTTTTGTTGGTTCTCAATCTCAAATAGGACCTATCATGTTGACACATTTTCTTTATTTTATTAGCTAACAAATGATAAACATTTGTAGAGTAGAAGCAATCCATCACATTACTAGTGCCATAGAAAACTGATATACCATGGGGGAAGGATCCGTTTATCATTTTTTTTGAAGTATGACCGGTCATACTTAATGTAGTTTGTAAGAGTTTGTAAACAAAAAAATTTGTAAATATAACATTTGCCAATTAGTTTAAACTATGAAAGTGGAGGGGAAAAAGTAAGCAATGAACAAAGCGGCACTTTCTCCAAGAAACTAAAAAATGTCAAGTGCTAAAAGAATATACCTTCATCTCAACATCTATGAAATCAGCCCCCAATTCCAGAGCTAGCTGTAATGCTTCCAACCGCATGTTCTCGTCGCCGTCATATAAACCACCTTCCCATTTTGGCCTTTTAAAAAAATGCAAAGAATAAAGATAATTGACCCTTTAATACGACTCTCACAAATCACAACTTGTAAAGCCTTGTGTCACATACATATATAATACGTATACATTTTTGCCAAATTAGGAAGAGTAAGATTTAATAGCTAAAGAAACAACAGGGCATGAGATGTATCACCGATAAACAATAAGCACAGGGAGGAGCTTATTTGTGAGGATGATTTGAAGGTCACGGCTAGGCTTGAAGTTGGTGATAAGGTCGAGCCTAACCTCCACTATATCAGCACCTTGTGCCTTTGCCTGATACATGTCACTCACAATCTGCTCAACAGATTGGCTTGTGAGTGAAGCACAAACCATAATAGTTTGATTGGAAACTTCTTCAGTACCCATTTTGGAATGAAAGAACTATTGAAGAGAAGTGAGAAGAGTAATAACGTCACTCAGGTGTGACCATTGCATATTAAGAGGCAAAAGTTGTAGTTGGTAGTAAGTCCTTTTCCATTGCTGATATGGGTGAGTCAGATGCGTTGAAACTTGAAAATGCCAACAACTACAAGTATAACATAACAACTAAGGACATGAGACGGAGGACGACAAAATGAAGTTTTTCATTTATTTATTTATTTATTATTATAGTGCTAACCTGCCACTTGCAGCTGATAGGGAAGAAACTGGTGTGGTGAGTGAGGCACTGAGGCTTATGAGGTTCAAAGCATCAATCACTTCAAGGAAAGAATTACACATAAGAAAAGGTGCATGCCAGAGAATGCTAGGCCGGTGAAAATCTACAGCACCATACTGGTAGGTGAAACTAGTAAATGGGAAGATGCCGCTGCTTTTTGTACCAGAGTGAGACAGTGAGAAGAAAAAAATATTTTTAATAATTTACACATTAAAGCACAACACGCTCGTCCAAAAATATGTTCGGGGACACGTGTTCAACTTTTCGACATGTTTTTTTTGACACACGGTTAATTTTTTTCGACACGCGGTCAATGTAGGACACATTCGGACACATTTTTTTATTAAATCTTAATTTTATTTTGTTAACTAAATATAAAAGAAATAATTTATAAATTAATTTTTTTCTGTTATGAAATTTGACATGAAAAATTAAAAAAGTACGAAAAATTATTTATATTTATATTTATGTTATAAAATTTAAATATTTGATTGATTATATGACTTATTATGAACTCTTATATGTATTAAATATAAATTATATTATATATATTAAAAATTTTATTTAATATCAAAACGTGTCCAAATATGACATTTTTTTAGAATTAACGTGTCGGCGTATCGTGTCGTGTCCCGTGTTTCGTGTCCGTATCCGTGCATCATAGATTTACACTATATATTTTATGTAAATTTGGATTCTCTAATGTGAAAAATGATCGTATAATCATATTATTTAATTATAACTATTTATTTAAAAATTATATTTTTTTTTCTCGGATAACTCATTTACATGTGAGTATTCAAATCTACTCCCAAAAATACAGTTCAATACTACCGTGATATTGTAAATGCGCTCGCTAGGCCGGTGCCTTTGTAAAAAATTTAATATGCTCCGGGTCCACCATTTATTTAGTGGTTTTTTTTCTATAAATGAAAATTTTTCTTATATTTCAATCTTTTTCTTTTTGATTTTTTCCTCTTCCGTCCTTCCTTTTTTTCTATTTTTGGGAGGGACCACCATGATTCCGTCCCACAAAAAATCTTCTCGTGCCTTTGGAGGTGTCTGCCAAGTACAAAAGAGTGCGACGAAAAATATGACGAAGAGTTAATATTTTCTTAATTATTAAACTAAGAAAGTATTAAATATTTTTTATATTATTAACATATAGAGTACGTACAATTATTGATAAAAATATTAATCATTAACACATATATGTATAGTAAATAATAAAGCTATTAATTTTTTTTAAATTTTTTCTTAAACAAATACAACTCTTTATTTTATTTTATTTTATCAGTTAATTCATTCATTTTGAGGAAACTGTTTCTTGATGCTTTAGGGTGTCCATGACAATCATTCTGTTACCTGACACTGTTTCTGAAAAGAAACAATTCTTTTCTATTTTTGTGCCTTGGAACAATTTCTAAAAAAAATGTGTTTGATAACATGTTATATTTTTAGTCTGAGAATGAGAATTGCGTTTGATAACACAACAAATAATATAATAAAAAATAATTTCTATTAAGCATAATTTTTTCGGATTATCACTTTCCTTTCCATATGGTGTGGTGGTGTCGGTGGTGACAGCGGCGACAGTGATGGTAATGGTGGCGATGGTGGTAATAACGGCAACGGTGGTGGTAGTAGTGGTAGTGATAGTAGTGGCTGCGATGATGGTGGTGGTAATGGTGTCGGCATAGTGGTGATGGTAATGGTGGCGATGACGATGGTGGTGATGGTGGGTGGTGGCATGGTGGTGTTGGTGATGACATGGTGGTGGTAGTGACGACAGTAGTTGCAGCGATGGTGGTGGCATGGTGGTGGTGGTGGTGGTGATGGCAATGACTGCGACGGTGGTGGTAATAGCAGTGGCTGCGGCGATATAATGGTGGTTAGTGACGATGGCGGAAGTGGTGGTGGCAATGGCGGTGGTTGTGGTGGTGACGGTGACGGTGATGGTAGAGGTGGTGGTGATGGTGGTGGCTGAGGCAATAATGGTGGTGGTGGCGTGGTGGTGATGGTAATGGTAGTGGTTGCGGTGATAACAATGGTAGTTAGTGACGGTGGTGGAAGTGGTGGCAATGGCGTGGTGATGACGACGATGGAAGTGGCGGTGGCGGCAATGGTGGTGGTCATGATGGGTGGAAGTGGTGGCGATGATATTGTGGTGGTGGTGGTTGTGATAGTAGGGTGGTGTCGCCGTCGTCGTGGTGACGACGACATTGGTGGTACAACGACGGCGGATGGTGGTGGTGGTTGTGTCGAGATAATGGTGGTGGTGGTTGTGATAGTATAGGGTGGTGTCGTCGTAGTCGTCGTGGTGACGGCGACATTGGTGGTACAACGACGGCGGATGGTGGTGGTGGTTGTGTCGAGATAATGGTAGTGAATAGTGATGATGACGATAGTGATAAAGAGTAATCGAGAGAAATAAATATTTCTCATTTTGTGTCCGGGAACAAAAAAATTAGAAATTTTTTTATTCTTTTTTCTATTCCCCAGCACAAAAAAAAATAAACTGATTTTACTAAACGAGTTTTCTATCCATTTCTGTTCTCGAGAACATAAATTAAAAAAAAAAAATTGATTCCAGAAAAATTTTCATGCACACCTTTATTTACCATGTTTTCTATCCTTACATATTCGTGAACAAGACTCTTAAAATTTTAACCGTTAATTTTTTTTTGCTCACTCCTTCTTTTTTCATCATTCAATCTAAGGGTTGAGATATTAATGGAGTGAAAAATGGTACAGAAAAGCACGCTGAGCGATAGTAAGTGGAAATTTGATAGTAAAGCTAAGTTGTTGGTTTAAAGAAAATATAAAGGAGGAGTAGGTGAGCTGTACTCACTTGGACTTTGCGGTCAATGACAGTGAGCATGAGTTGTACGCAACGCAATGATAGAGAATAGAGATCGACAAATTTAGAATATAACAAGTCACAAATTTGGCTGCCGCACCCCTTCCTAAGTGAAGGATGGTGACTTATAAATTAAATAGTTTGATAAGACGACAGATTGGGGACTTTGTACGCAATATAATAAAAAAAAAAAAATTATTAAATTATATTACTTTTAATATTAATTATCTGTTTATAATAATGAATTATTAAAATCGTTTAGTTACAAGAGAAAAAGGAATTATAAAAACGGGATAACAGATTATTTTCTGAAAGGAATTTAATTCGGCAGATATAAAATAATTTTATTTTAAAAAAATTCAAAGTGTGAGGAATCAGGAGAAATTTATGTTCCATCATCCCAAAAATTTGCTCACTTGAAGTCTTAAGACTTTATAAAAAAATTTGTCTTTTCGTATGCAATAATTCTTCCCAAAATTCCGAATGATTAAAAAAAATCAGAATCATAACAGTATGGATTCACAAGAATCATAATATTTCATCAATAACTTTATCATTTAAGTAATTATAAATTATAATCATATTAAATATTGAATTTTTTGAAAAAATCAATTATTAAATTATCATTAAAAACAATAAATTTAATATTTTTGAATTTACAAATATTTCAAAAGATTGTGCTAATAAATAAGAAATATTTATCGAATTAATTATTATTTAACTCAAATAACTTAATGTTATTTCTCAAAATAATAATAATTATATTATCTATTATATTAATTATTATTCATAATGTTAATTTGTATTGAAATTTGAAATGAACGGTTTGAATTTTGTTATATGACAACATCCTGACAGTAATGCTAGAGGAGTAGCCAGATTGGTAATTGATTTTGAAGTTAATACACTTTTGTATATATAATAACTATACTCTGACAGAAAAAACCATAGAGTGGAGTATAAAAATTAGAAATTAAAAAATTATGATATGGATTGGTTTATAAGGTCCGGACTCCGGACCACATATAAGTTTAAAATTAGAGTACCCTTTTTAGTCCCTGACAATATCTACGAAGTCCTTTTCAGTCTCTGACAATAAAAAAGGATCAAATTGGTCCCTGAAAGTACAAGAAAAGGGTCACTCTACATATTTGGGAGTTGACATAAGGACTAACATGACCATTTTTTTGTAATTTCAGGGACCAATTTAGTCCTTTTTTATTGTCAGAGACTAAAAAGGACTTCGTAGATATTGACAGGGACTAAAAAGGGTGTTTACTCTTAAAATTATTATAATTTTTTAATTTTATAGGTTTAGAATTTTTAACACAAGTTAATCAAATAAACTATATTAATTAATATATTTAGACTTTTATTATATAAATAAGAGTTTTTTTTCAGTGAATGCACATAAATTATTTACATTGAACTCAAAATAATATTATTTTCAGGCAAAAAGTAAGGTGTTTTTGCAATTATAATTTATTCCAACATTATAACAGTCTTTATTATTATAGTTTTTTTAATCTTTTCATTCAAAATGATGTTATTTTGGAAGTGATGTAGATAACTTATCTGCATTCACCGTAAAATCTACATATAAAGAGTTTAATGCTTCTTATGTTGTAGGAGATAAACGCATAAATTTATCTCCTACACACACATAAAAATATATTAGGCCATATGAAGAGAAGAGATAGAAAAAGAAAACTAATCCCCAAATAAACACTAATCTCACAAATAAATAAAGGGAAATAATTATCTCATGCAACAAGAGATTAATAGATCCCATAAATAAAACAATACAAACTAACGGGTTAGCCCAAATAACCCTCAATCCCGCACAAAGTTGGCTGAGTTAATAATTTACTAACCAAAATTATTCCAGGCTTGTTATTTAAGCCAGCCTACCTTAATCCAATCCGTAGTTAATGGGTTACATGGATATTGTAATAAAAAAAATTATTTTCTTAATCTTTCATCAATAATTATATATAGCTCAAATGAAGATTACAATTTTCTACTAAACACATAAAAATAAAAAATAGTTAAATGTATAAAATAACGACAAAATTTTTATTCAGTTACTGCATATAAATTATCTGCATTTATTCTCAAAACGACGTTATTTTGAGATTGAAAATTTAAAAAATTATAATTATAAAAACTATAACAACCCTGAAATAAATTAAAATTAAAAAATATCATGATTTCTGCCCCAAAATGACGTCGTATTGGGCTGCAGTAACTGCAGAAAAAGCGAACCCATAAAATAAATGCATTACACATTTGATTTATCTAACAAAAAGTTAATGATTATTAATAATAAGTTTTTCTAGAAATGATTATTATTTATTAATACAAATATACGTGTTCAAGGAAGATATCAACCATTAATTTAAGGGTGTGCATAACAACCTTCCCAAATTTTTTTTTTTTTTTAATTTATGTTCCCGGGAACAGAAATGGATGGAAAACTCGTATGGTAAAACTGATTTAATTTTTTGTTCCCGGATGAACCGGTTTAATTTTTGTGTTGGGGAACAAAAAAAAGAATAACTTTTTTTTTGGCTTTTTTGTTTCCAGGCACAAAATGAAAAACACTTATTTCTCTCAAACACTCTTCACCACTATCATCGTCACCACCACCACCATTATCCCGACACGACCACTGCCATCATCGTCGTCGTCGCCGTTGTACCACCAATGTCGTTGTCACAACCACCACCACCACCACGACGATGTCATCGCCACCATCACCACCACAACTACCACCATGCTGCCGCCACCACACCATCGCCACCACTTCCACCACTGCCATCACCACCACCATCATGCCATCACCACATCATCGCCACTGCCACCACACCAACATCATCATCGCTGCAGCCACTGCCGTCACCACCACCGCCAGCACTACCACCACCATCATCGTCACCATTACCACCATTATCGTCGCAGTCACTTCCGTCACTACCACCACCACCACTATCGCCACCATTATCACCATCACCACCACCACCACCATGCCATCACCACGTCATCGCCACTACCACCACGCCACAGTCACCAACCACCACCACTATTGTCGCCACTACCGTCACCACCACCACCATGCCATGACCAACACCACCACGCCACCAACCACCACCGCAGCTACTGCCGCCAGTACCACTACTGTCGCCACCACCATCGCCACCATTACCACCACCGCCGCCGCCGTATGGAAAGGAAAGTGATGATCCCAAAAATTTATGCTTAATAGGAATTATTTTTTATTATATTATTTGTTGTGTTATCAAACGCAATTCTCATTTTCAGAATAAAAATAGAACATGTTATCAAACATATTTTTTTCTTAGAAACTGTTCCAAAGCACAAAAATAGAAAAGAATTATTTCTTTTCAGAAATAGTGTCAAGAAACAGAATGATTGTCATGCACACCCTAAGTTGGTTTGTTTGAATTTATGAGAATATGCTTACAAGCAATGGTAAAAATCTAGCTAGAACTTGTACCAACAAAAAAAATCTAGCTAGAACATGCATTTACTTACCGAGAGAAGGCAGTTGTTGTGATGATTGACTGGTTAAGGGTATGCATGGCAATCATTCTGTTCCCTGACACTGTTTCTGAAAAGAAACAATTCTTTTCTATTTCTATGCCTTGGAATAATTTATGAGAAAAAAATGTGTTTGATAACAGGTTTTATTTCTATTCCAAGAATGAGAATTGCGTTTAATAACACAACAAATAATAGAATAAAAACCATTCCTATTAAGCATAAACAATTTTCGAATCATCACTTTCCTTTTCATATGGTGTGGTGGCGGTGATAGCGGTGGTGGTGGTGGAGGTGATGTCATGGTGGCGGCGGCGGTGACAATAGTGGTGATGGCATGGTAGCGGCGGCGGCGACGGTAATGGTGACAACGATGGTGGTGGTAATGATGGCATGGTGGGGGTGACGGTAGTAGTTGCGGCGATGGTGGCGGTGATGGTAGTGATAATGGTGGTGACAGTGATGGTAGTAGTGGTGGTGGTTATGATGGTGATGGTGGTGGTGACGTAGAGGTGGTGGTGATGACAGTAGTGGCCGCAGCGATGGTGGTGATAATGGTGGTGATGGTGTAGTGGTGGTGGCGGTGACAGTGGCAGTGGCAATGGCGTGATAATGGTGATGGTGACAGCGGCAGTGGTGGTAATGGTGGCATAGTGGCAGGGTCGAGGGTAGTGGTGGTGGTGGTGACGGCAATAGCTGCGACGATGGTGATGATGATGACATGGTGGCGGTGATGTAGTGGTGGCATGGTGGTTACATGATAATGGTAGTGGTGGCGGCGATGGTAGTGGTGGTGGTGACAGCAGTATCTGTGATGATGGTGATGTAGATGGCATGGTGGCGGCGGTGGCAGTGGTGGTGGCGGCGGCGGCGGCGGTGGTAGCGGTAGTAGTGGTGGCATGGTGGTGGTGATGGAAGTGACTACGATAGTGGTGGTGGTGGTGGTTGGTGATGGTGATGATGATAATGGTGGTGGTGGTGACGTGGAGGTGGTGGTGGTTGTACGATGATTATTGTAGCGGTGCTAGTGTCAAGATGGTGGTAGCAGTGGTGATGATGGAAGTGGTGGAGAGTAATTGAGAGAGATAAGTGTTTCTCATTTTGTTGCCTAAGAATAAATAAATAGAATTTTTCTTTATTCTTTTGTCTGTTTCCTAACACAAATTAAATATTTCATCCGGGAATAAAAAAATAATCCAATTTTATCAAACAAATTTTTTTATCCATTTCTATTTTCAGGATCGGAAATTAAAAAAAAAAATGATTTCGAAAAAATTGTTACGGAAAGTGCCATGAAATGTGATAATGACTTCCAAAAAGACTATTCTCCCCTAATGATTCCGTGTATCAATTGCCAAGTTATCTGGTTCATTTCCATGCATACGTACATATGTTCTGCGTCGTATATTTTCTAGACACTGCATGTTGGTGGGGTATGCCCAATTGCCAAGTTCTGTTGTTGTTTCTTTGTGTACCAACGGAAAAAAACAAAAAACAAAAAACAAAAACAAAGACGCACTTGACCTCGGATGAGAGAAATAAAAAATATTAACTTATTTCAAATTAGTTGAATCAGATAATGAATCTAAATAGAAAACAAAAAAAAAAAATACTTGAGAAAAAAAATAAAAAAATAACTAAAAGAATCATATGAAATATAGAAAATAACGAATAATAGCTGGTTTCACGAGTAGCTTATTGATTTGGAGCTTGCGTTTTAATCCCAAACAACTGGGTTCAAACCCAGCACAAAAGTAGAGGAGAAATAATGGATAACATTAATAATTTTCCTCCACTTTCAAAATATTTATCATCAATTAAAAAAAAAATTGATTTATCTCTTCCTCTCTCTCTCTCAGCGGAGCTTTAAATATTTTAGTTCCATACAACAACAAAAAATAAAAGAATTTTAGTCCCCTTAAATGATTATTTTACTCAAAAAGATTGAAAATTATTATTAATCATGTCACAAATTTTAAATGAAAAAAATATTTTTGCTTTTATGGCAGAAAAAATCTCTCTATCACATTCACATAAAAATAAATAGATTTCATTAATCTTTTCTCTTTCTTCTCTTAATAATGATTAATGAGACCCATTCACATTTTGTGAATGTGGCAGAAAAAATTCATAAATTGAAAAAAATATTTTCATCATACTCACATAAAAATAAATAGATCACATTGTTAAGAAAATAGAAAGAAAAAATTAGTAAAACTCCTTCACTTTTATGTGAGTGTGATAGATAAATTTTTTCAGCAAGAAATACAAAAACATCAAACCCTCATAAATTTACCTACAATCACAGCTAAATTATATATATATATATATATATATATATATATATATATATATATATAAAAGAGAAAAGTCTCTAGCTATTCTTATATCGATTGTAGATTTTTTAAAACATGGGTGTTACAATACAAGTTATATAAACATCTATAATATTACATTTTAATACAAAATAAAAATAAAAATTGGCAACATAATGAGAACAGATCATGCACCAATAAATGGACCAAAAACTGTCGGGGAAAAACAAAACGACAATATACGCAAAAGAAACGTGACACCCACATTGATGCCCCATCACATAGGGTCTGATCCCCATTTAATGGATTGGTATTATTGAATAAACCGATTTCTTCGTCCCATCCAGATGCATACAAGCTTCACCACCGACAAAGTCCGGTATACTTGAAGTGACTTAAAGGGTTGCTATAGAATCTCAGATGAGATTCATCATAATCAAGAATTTCTAATAGATCAATTCAAACTCATGTTTAAATAAGCCAGGCTCGGGCAAATTGGTGATCAAATAAGGAAAAAGTATTATAATTGTAAGGTTAGCATTCAATACAAGAGCGATAACATTACACTGACTTAAATTCCCAACGTCTTGCCACACACCGCCATAATTTTTTACGAAACACATTATCGTAATCTCCACACAATCTGCATCTGAAAGAACCAAATCCTCGTTCTATCAAAATACTTGCTCAGGATCCCTTCCTCTACAACCAAATCGATAATATTTGACAGTTTAAATACGGCAAAGAAACATTCCCCAGTCCAGCAAATTTACGACAAAAGAGCTCACAAGCATCAAAGCATGTTTTGATTCCCCTCCTATCAGTAATACAACTATGAACTCATCAAGCTTTTATACGGACCACAAATGAACCTGCTCAATGATGTGCAAAAGTAGACTGATCAGAGCAAATCAAGCAGACAAGGCAAATTTTCATACACAAACATACACATTACTCATTAGTGAAATATTGAACACAGAGCCGGTAAATGAGATGCTTTAACAGATATAAACATGGAAAGCAAAGACCAATTAACGTCGTAATGTCTATATATGTGTGAGGAGAAACAATCTTGTTTGAATTGTCCCAAATTAACAAACACAGATTAAAAAATCTAGAGATTAACATAAACTTTATACAAACAAATGCACAAACTTCCTAATTGAAGCAATTATTCCAGGGGCTATTAGAATCAAAGTATCCCACTTTATCGTCAGCACCATCCAATAATTTTATTCCACAATGGAAAGACCCACAGATCACAAATTATTTGAGAACTAACTTGATTGACATGATTTGTTGGAATCTCATGGGTTATGAATAAGAAGTGGTTTAGAAGCAAAAAAGAAAGGGAAGATAAGAGGGTGTGTGGGTTATAAACTAAAAAGTCCCACATTTGACAACTAGTAAGAGATGGAAAGTTTATAAGCTCCCACCATAAACTCCTAGATTGCCCCTTGGGGCACTCCATATTTTGTGGAGGAGAGAGGACTTAGGTGGGAATTGGTCCACCACACACCCGTCCCCTCCTATCAGTAATACAACTATGAACTTATCAACCGCCGTCGTCCGTCCGGTTTGGTTCGGTCAGTCGCGCGTGAGGGCGGATGAAATTTGTTTTCTTTTGTCCAACCGTTGCTTCCCTCCAAATTCAAACTGAAACGTTATTCCCCGCCAAATTCTTAACTGAACTGGTTCTTCCTTTCGGTTTCGTTTTGAACCGAACCGGTGCGTTCGATTAAATTTGAACCAAACCGGTCACCGATTGTGATGGTTCGCCGCCATCAGACACGGCAGTTCGCCGGCGGCGGTACATCGTGCCTTATCGGAGTCTCTAAATAGGCGTTCCCATCGTCAGAAATTTATCTAGTTTTTTTGCATCGTTATTCCCACATTTGACAACTAGTAAGAGATGGAAAGTTTATAAGCTCCCACCATAAACTCCTAGATTGCCCCTTGGGGCACTCCATATTTTGTGGAGGAGAGAGGACTTAGGTGGGAATTGGTCCACCACACACCCGCCCCCTCCTATCAGTAATACAACTATGAACTTATCAACCGCCGTCGTCCGTCCGGTTTGGTTCGGTCAGTCGCGCGTGAGGGCGGATGAAATTTGTTTTCTTTTGTCCAACCGTTGCTTCCCTCCAAATTCAAACTGAAATGTTATTCCCCGCCAAATTCTTAACTGAACTGGTTCTTCCTTTCGGTTTCGTTTTGAACCGAACCGGTGCGTTCGATTAAATTTGAACCAAACCGGTCACTGATTGTGATGGTTCGCCGCCATCAGACACGGCAGTTCGCCGGCGGCGGTACATCGTGCCTTATCGGAGTCTCTAAATAGGCGTTCCCATCGTCAGAAATTTATCTAGTTTTTGCCATCGTTATTCTACCGGATTTTTACTTTGTCCGTGCATGCATGCATGCATTTATACCGTACATGGTGTGATTCCTCAGGCATCCAGTTGTGTTCGTTCGGGCTCTTGATTGATTGTTGCCATCATTCTTGAACCGAACCGGTCACCGATTGTGATGGTTCTCCGTCAGACGCGGCGGTTCGCCAACGGCAGTTCATCATGCGTTATCGGAGTCTATAAATAGACATTCTCACCGTCAGAAATTTATCCAGTTTTTTGCATCGTTACTCTGACGAATTTTTACTTCGTTCGTGCACACATGCATTCATACCGTACATGGTGCGATTCCTCAGACATCCAGTTGTGTTCGTTTGGGCTCTTGATTGATTGTTGCCATCATTCTTGAAACGCAAATTCGTTCTATACTGGGAGACAAGTGTTCATCAACCTTCGGCACCTTAGTGAGGGAACAAATTGTCTTAAGGAGACAACTTCAGTTGGGCTCGGATTCATCATCATTATTCTGCATACTTCTGCTTCTGATCAAGTTAGTTCGTTTTATTTTATTGCACTCTGCTTATACCATTAATTAATATATCTGGTATCATACACAAATTAGAATCTATACTTGATTTTCACCCACTGTCTTTTACAACATGATTATCATCGAGCAGGACCTAAATAAACTAAATCATTAACTAAAAAATCCAGACTTTTTTTCTGTAGCTGGAAAGTGAGCCTTGGTGCAATGGTAAAGCTGTTGTCTTGTGACCTGGTGATCATAGGTTCTAAGCACAGAAACAGCCTTATGAGCCTCTTCAGTCTCCACTAATGGGGGTAGGGCTAAACACAGTCCATACCCCACAAAGGTGGAAGCCTCATGCACTAGGCTATCCTTCCATGGTTTTTTCTGTAACTAATCAGTCAATGATGAAGAATGATTCATCTATTTGCAAAAGCATACAAGTTTAAACATGATAAAAAACACACACGCACAACTTCACCCAACATAAATTTGATCAGGAAAACTATAACCAAAATCTAACAATGATACTTTCAAAAGTAATGATGCTCTCACACACTTAAATTTCTCTATGTAAGCCACTAGATATCAAATGGACAGGAACCTATTTAAACTATTCAAAACAGATCAGATTATTCACATCATACTTCTCACACGCAATGTGAGATAATCATTACCTGACTTAGAAGGATATAACTTGTACATCCACAAAACATTCATAATGAAAAGGAACTCTTCTCCATCCCTGAAAAGACATCTCTTATCTGTGTGTGTTAGAGAGAGAGAGAGAAATACGTACATGCTGGAAGGTTTGATATATCTGCAGAAACTGCACAAGGAATTCCCAAGTTGGAAAGAGCTCCTCTAATGATCCCGCATGGGAAGTATAGATGCATGCTCATTGCATGTGCTGCCTTGTTTTCAGCTGTAGGTGAAGAATTATCTTCAACTAAACTACCATTATCAGCAGATGGATCAACTGACATCCGTGCAAGCCAGGGAAATTTATTATCTTGCAATACAAAGGTACCCTGCAGCGGAACCAAATACCATGACGATCCCAATCAAAAACAATATAGCAATATATACCACCTTTTGAGTTCAGCTTTTAAATCACCCTATGGTTTGTCTTCAAGTTGTCTATCTGCTTCTTAAAGAGCTCAGACCAAAAATCCTTGCAGATGAACTTGATTGCCTCAAGATGATCACTGAACCGAGGCCGCTCCATGGTATACCTGACAACAAGAGTTAACACACACACAGAGCACATTTTTCCCAATCCATTAATAATTCACTACATAGAGCCGTAATGTAGAATTAGAATAGAAACATCACAAAGTAAACCTACCCAAAATAATCAATATCATCAAAGTAATGTAGGTTTATCACGAAAACATAAGCCTAAATATTATCTTAGTGTAATTTGGTTTTGGAGCTTATTTGTGTAATTCCATAACCTTTCTAGATCACACTATTACTATCATGTCTCAGCAGAGATCTCCATCCAGAAATTTCAATGTAAATGAAGCGATAGAGATATAGATAACTAAAAGCATGAAATAAGGAAGCGTAAATGAAAGATGAATTAGTTGAAATTAGGGTTTGGAAACAACCTTTCAGAGAGCTGGTGACCGACCTGATATCCAATGGCCTCGATCCTGCGGGCAGCAAGATCGGGCTTATTGGCGTAGAATCGATTGCAATAGCACGCAACCATCTCCGTCAACAGGCTATCCATGCAACTCTCTGACACTTCCCTCACCATTCTCTCTCTCTCTCTCTCTCTCTCTCACTAAAGCAATGGAAATGGAAGAATCAGAATCACTATGCACTCTGAACGGGATTAGTCATCATCATCGTGCTTCACTTGCCTCACCCCGATCTACACCATCACTGCGAAAATGCAATTACGGGCCTTAAAGTTGAATTTACAATTGGGCCTAGCCCTACACTATAACTGGGCTTACTGTGTTTGCTATCTATCAATGTTTGAAAAAAAATTAAAATCCACCTTAGACTCTCTTTCTCTTACACCCAAAAATCGCGGGTCCTACTAAGTCCAAGGTACCTATTTATTTCTTCTTCGTCACACTCTTCGCATTCTCCGCCACCTTCTCTCCCTCTCTCTTTTATCTCCATTTGTTCTTTCTGCGCCTTTGCACTTCCACACCACGCCACGATGGCGACCAATGCAGTTACTGGAACATCAATCTCCATTTGCTCTCTCCTTCCTCGCTTTAATCACACACTGGTATCCTTTTCGACCCTCCTTTTTAATCAATCATAAGCACTACTGTGCGCTTCACTTTGCTTCTTTGTGTAATGATCTGTTCACCATTTGGCAGCTGTTTTTTATTCTCATGAACAAGTTTTCTATTATTTCTGCTCAGTCATATACAGTTTTGCGTTGATTAAGGTGTTTATAATTTGTGTTATAGGATATGATTTTTATGACCGCTTTCGTCTGTGTCACGTTCATAAAAATAATATAAGCTGCTTTAGTATCTTAGAAATGTATTTATTTATTTTTTTTCATTTATCTGTATATTAATTCCTGAATGCACTTCTTCTGGATGAATATGTTTGAGCAGGCATTTAATTCAATTTCTGGCCCAAGGTCTGCTTTAATTTCTAGCTACGGGAAGAAAAACGTTTCTTTTAGCTTGCAGCCACCCTCCGTTCGCCTTACAGTTTCCTGTGCTGTAAGTAGCTAGTGGAATGTTTGATGATCTTTCATACTTTAGAGATTAACTTCTGCTTGCATTTACATTAAATGACTAGATTTAAGACTTCTTGAGACCATAGCTAATAGGAATTTCCTCATATGGATTGCTCGTAGTGAAATCTATCTGTTTGAAGCTGAGTCTGAGAAATGATTAATTGATAGAAATTGTGATGTTAAAGGTGAAACGGTATGCATAGTCTATTACCTGAGATTACTTCCCAATTTTCTGTTTTTAGTAAATTAAGTTTTGTTCTTTGTCTCATTTATCCCTTGGCTATGGACCTGTAGTTACCTGCATAAATTCCATGCTTTGTAAGACAAGAGATGGTTTCAATTGAAGAAACTCCAGCATTTAGAACTTCAATATATTACTGTTTGTTCACTTTTATGCAGATATTGCTGCAAAGATCTTCAACCTTTTTATTAGAATCTTTAAATTAAATAATGCTCTGGATTCTTGAACCTTTTGTTTTTTTAAGCTTCTGGATGGTTTATAACAAGCTAAGTGTATGCTGACAATTCGTTACTTGTCTAAGTATATCCACATAGTTAATTAGTCCATATGTATGTTTAAGTGCATTATGTGCATACATATATTTAATAGGGGAAAATTATATTTACAAACTTTTTGTTTACAAACTACATTAAGTATGACCGGTCATACTTTAATCAAGAATGTATGACCGGTCATACTTAATGTAATTTGTAAAAAAAGTTTGTAAACGGATCATTCTCCTATTTAATAAATCAACTCTAGCAAGTCAGAATTGAATAATGTGATGCTCTTTCTAGAAGTGACTAGTATTACCCTGTGCCATTAGTCGATTCCCAGATTTCTTATGAAGGAATAGCTTTTCATCCATGTAAAATGACCGATTAAATTATTGGGACTTACCTTCTCTCTCTCTTTTGTTTGGGTATAGTTGCTTCTTTAATATCTATGTTGAAAGCTTTATTGAGCAGGCAAAACCAGAGACAGTAGACAAGGTATGCAAAATAGTAAAGAAGCAGCTGGCTTTACCCGGTAATTCTAAAATTACTGGGGAGTCAACATTTGCAGCTCTTGGAGCTGATTCCCTTGACACGGTAATCAGAAACATCATGCGAACTTTCAACATGTTACTTTTTTATGCTCATTTCTTATATGTAGTATCTTGCGTATAAATTAAGAGCCATGACACTTAAATGATTGTGGATTTCATTTAAATGCCCTGTCATTTAGGTTGAGATCGTTATGGGGCTCGAGGAGGAATTTGGTATTAGCGTGGAAGAGGACAGTGCGCAGAGCATCACTACAGTTCAGGATGCTGCAGATCTTATTGAAGACATCATTCAAAAAAAGAATTCTTAGAGTAAACATGTACCAGAATGTTTTGGTTAACATGAGCTCATACTCTCCATACTCGTCGATACTTATGAGATGGGGCAATTTTCAGTCTCGAGTGTGATAGCGGTGAACTCTGCTATTGCTATTTTAGCAAGTTGAGAAGAAAAACAAGTTAGCCCAGCCTTTATTTTTTTGAAATTATATGAAGTGTTTTTTTTGGGTAGATAACCTCACAATCTACTCCCGTCACCTTGGTCTCGGAGTACGCCCTGTAAGACTATCTCCTTATTAAAATAGAGGGTGCATTGGACCATTGTTACCATAGATTTATAAATTACTATTAAATTTGTCTTAGTCATATTTTATGTTAATATTACTAGAGATAGATTTATGTCTGGGATATTTTATGATAATTTAATTGGAACCGTGAATGCAGTCTCTTAAATTTGTTGTATAGCTGAGGTTTGAACTAAAATTCTCACTATTAAATTACTTAGTGGAAAGCCAAAAAACCTGAAAATAATACTAGGTAAATAAGAAGTTCTAAGGAGGCGTTTGGTTCAGGAAATTTTTTTGGAATAGTAGGGAAATGAGATAGATAGAGAAATGATTGAAAAGATAGATAAAGTGAGATAGGTAGAAAAATGTAAAAAAAAGTTGTTTGGTGGGGAAAAATTTTACTGGGAAAATTAGGTAGCTTTATGAAATTAACAGTGCATTAAAAGCCAGATAACCGGTTTTTCGAAAAATTCCACCTTCAAATTGGGTTTCTAAACAGTGTGGATATCTATGTTTCTCATAAATCCAGACAAATTGGATAGATGGGTTTTTGGTGAAAAACGTTGAAACAAACATGGTGTTTCTAAAAGTCAATATTTGAGAAAGATAAATATCCGCTGAAAAGCTCCCAACCAAACACCACCTAAGAGGCATTTACTAGAGGTGAAAAAAAATTTGACCAGAGAAATACAATTATTGTGAAAATAGTGGAAAATGTGGAAAAGTGATTTTTTTGGGAAAGTTATAAAAAAATTGTTTGATAGGTCGAAATATTACCAGCAAAATGTTGGTATAAAATTGTTACAAGTTTGAGTTTGACAGGGAAATCAAAATATAGAAAAATGTTAGTATAAAATTGCTACAAGTTTGAGTTTGATAAGGAAATCAAAATATGTCTGTCAATGTGGTATTCTCAAGTGGGCATTTTCCTTTATTTTTATACTACAAAAAAATTTTCATCAAAATATTTTTCCTAGGGCAAATTTTCCCTACTCCATACCAAATATAAGCATTTATGAATTATATCTACCACTTTACTAACATTCTCAAAAAAATCCAATCTATCAAACAACCGTTTGGTACACGAGAAATTTTTATTTGTTCGGAAATCTCGATTTTTAAAAATATGATTTTTACATTCAGTTTATGATAATATCTAAAAATTTAAAATTTTAAAAATTTCAGTTTTTCGGAATCCGGAAAAAATCCAATCTATCAAACAACCCCTAAATGTTTTACATCAAATCTGGTAAATAACAGAACACGTATGGTGTTTACTGTCCATTAGTATGGTGTTTACTGTCCATTAACATCCTTTCATATAATAACGCGATCTTCTAACATATTTACTTTATTCACATAATGTCTTGATCGGGATGCCTTGCGATGATTACACTGTAACCACATTTAACAGTTGATACAACATCACTCCCAATTAGCTTCGAATAAACCAGCATCTTTCGTCTCCGAATAACAGACATTTTCCAAGTGAAAATTTTCCTCCTGTAATCACGACACAAAGAACAATCAGTCAGAGTCTCAAACCAATACAATGAAAGCTGTCTTTGAACAATGGTACTGTACAAAGGTTTGAAAAGTCGAAACTGAAGTTCAGATTATCAAGTGAAGGAAACTATAACCTATAAAAATTCTGGCAGAAATGTTAAATGCAAAAGAGGAAGATAAAAGGCACGGTAAGTGATAACAGACAACTGTAACAGAGAGAAATAATATAAAAATAATTGAAGGGTCTTCACTTAACAATCATAAACTAAGAATAGACATAATGTAACAATCCCAGCAATTAACTTACCAGGTAACCTTTCTCTACACCTGGAATGGTACATGAACAATATGAAGCCACAAACGGCAGTGAGCAACAGCTTGTGGACAACCCACAAGTTGCGCTTCACATGATGAGTGTTGCTCATTGCTGTCGACGAATAATACGATTCCAAATCAAAATATATACAGGGCCGATTCAGTTTAATTGTATTAAAGATGGGGGAATATGATGACAGTAAATGTTTTCCACGTGAGGAATGATGTTTCAATGTAACAATAGTCTAATGGATGAAGGTATGAGGAAGGCTGAGCTCAATAGGGAAGTTATTAAAATACAAACAACACACGATTGATCCCGAGATCCCTCTTCCAGCATGGAGAGGTTGTTTATATAGGGAGCCAACAGCCAAGAGGACGGAGAAGAAAGAGTGGTTCATTTTTCTCCGTTCCAAGTAACGACATGCGCTCTGCTTAACTTAAGGGCAATGTACTCTCACAACAAGGATGAGGTATGTGCGCAAGGGAATGGGAAATTAGTCCAATAGTATTGGGCCTAGAATGGGCCCATTAAATTTAGTCCTGGCTGGGTGCCTGTCCAAAACAGATCCTAGGGGCTAATCCAGGATAGAGATCCTAGCGGCCCCGAATCCCTCCAGTATCACTTTTGAGAAGGGTTTAAAGTCTTAATCCTGAACCCGTCCTGAATCGGATTAGTTGCGAAGTGATGAACCGATTGAAATATTTTCAAAAAAAAAAAAGATCCTAGCAGCCGGTCAAAAACAGGAGCAAATATATAGTGGTTTATGCGGTCCAACTCATGTGGGCCGTCCAGAGAGAGGAAGAAGAAAGAGAGAGAAAATGACTTAGGGCCTCTTTGATAACTGTTTTAGAAAACAGTTTTTAAATTTTAAAAACAAAAGTATAAAAGAACTTGTTTGATTGATGGTGTTTTTTGAAACCTATTCTCAAAATGCTTTTTTGACTTTTAGAACTAAAATTATAGAACACCTCATAGGTGTTTTTATTTTTGTTTTGAGTTTCAATTCTTAAAGAATGAGAAGACGAGAACAAATTGTTCTCATTAATGGCACAATTGTAAATAATAATAAGTCATTTTCATGTATCAGGTTTGACACTCGTTTATTGCAAACAAGTTTTTTTGTTTTATAATTTTTAAATCTCTTTTCAAAATTAATTTACCAAACAGAATTTTTTCTTTTCTAGTTTTGAAAATCAACTCTAAAAAACTATTTCATAAAATAGTTTTCAAAACAAAAAAACCAAAACACTTTCAAACATAGCCTTAATTTCCCAAAAACAGGTTCTACAAAGGAAAAGGTGCAATTATTCTTCAATTACATCAGTGCATGATTAATGCAGAAGTTCCCATAAAAAAAATTGGAATCCACAATCCCCTTCCCTTTGGCTAACCAGAAATCCATTTTCTTCCCACATACGCGTATATGGCATGAAAAAACAAGTTAATTTGGCTAGTGAGATAGCATTTATGTTTTAAAAAATAAAAGAGAGTTTCTTCTCTCCACCTAATAGTATTGATCACATTATGAAAACATAATTACAAGAAGCACAAGCACACGTATAGTAAAAATCAAGAAATACAGCTTACCAAAAAAAAATCAAGAAATACCTTCTAATAATATATCCAAACCAACAATGAGCCCTGAGATACTTAAATTTCGTGTCATTGCTTCCAAGCCACCATGCTTACTTCCAAAAACAGCATTGCGGAAGTAGTAAACAAGGATAACAAGTTCCTTGCCAGCTCTTTCCCAGTGTACACTCCCATGCCTGAGCCACCAAAGATTAAAGCATGTTAACCTCTCAAGTCTCAAGTATCATGGCATCACGGGTACTAATAAACTAGAAAAGAGCACTAGAAAAATCAAAGTCCAACGCATATACGACGCAACACAAAATATGTGAAATAAAAGAGCTCAAGTAACAATTCTACGTCAGCTGACAACTTAAGTAACACAGAGCTTCCATAGATTAAGAAGTGAACAAAGAATTTTGAATCCCACTTCCTCTGAAGGACTAGTCACTACCAAGCACCAACCCATGGAAGCGGTGTACAAATTATAATCAAAAAGATACTAAACCAAGTAATTAACATATGAACCAAACCTGGAGAAAGCACCAAGCAAGATTGAGCAGGGTGACAAGCCAAAGGCATCCGTAATATGAAATTATGATAGAAGAGGGGGCGTGTGAGATCTTGAGGAAGCTAAGCCTTGCTTGCAGTGCCAAGTACAATACGAAAACAAATGCTTAGGTTACTAATTTAATTAAAAATATAAAACAATAAATTTTAAAATTTGAAGGTAAAGATTAAAATTAAAAAGCAAGAAAATGAGATAGGTAATAATTTGCCCATTAATCAAATTTTAACATCATAATTAATACAATCCATTCTTAAAAAATTGTTGACAAATTATATGCTAGGATTTTGTAAAATAAAACATATATTTGTAGATAATTTCAATTCTAAAATATTTAAATTGAAATACTCTTAAATCACGGAAATAATTTCAAACTATATTTAGCACTGAATATGCAAAGACTCAAAGAGAGGGGGGGAAAAACAAAAGGAAAGCGAAACATTAAGGAAATGTTAATTGCATGTAGCTAAGAAGTTGGGAAGATCATAAATTTTATATTATGGTAATATTCTTTGATAAAAAAATAAGGGAAGATTATACTTATTATTTTTTTTATCACTTCTTAATATCGATTTTATTATTATTAGATTAAAATTAAATAACGACTCTCACTTGATATTATTTTGACTATTCATTTAATTTTGATCTAATAATAATAGAATTGATAATATGAAATACTAAGTATAACATATCCCGTAAAAATAATAAGGAATAACTAAAGAGAAAGGAGCAAAAAAGAAAAATAATTGATCTGGGCCAATGGTTTTTCTAATTACTGGAAGTTCGGAGACCGTTATAACATGGAAGCATTCCGGACTGCATCCACGTCACACCTCCCAATCTCTAACGAACGGATCCTTCGTCCCTCCACAATAGCAGGACGCCACTCCATGCTCCTCCTTGCCCTCACCCTCATCATTTCGTTTTCTTCCACTCTCTCTAACCCTCATCATTTCGTTTTTTTGTTTCTTCTCTTCTCTAGTAATAATTGTTCTGATTTTAGGCCAAAGAGATCCATGAATTCAGTAACCAAATTTTCTGGATTCTTTTTATTCTGTGATAAGTTCCTATTCAAGGAGATATAATAATCCGAGAACGCAAGAGCAAACTTACAACCAAATATTTCTGAACCAATCAGAGGCAAGTTTCACCAAATATTTATGATCCATGACTAGGAGATCATTCCTTCTTTTTTTTATGTTTATTTTTCTTTTGGTTTTCTAGATGGATCGGCGGAGAGGAGCGTTTGAGAGGCAGAAGAGCTCAACGGGGACGCCAACGACGCCGTCCTCACCGGTGATGATGTCGCCGCTGAACCGTCACGCTCGTGCAGGTTCCACTGGCTCTGCCATGACCAACGTCAGGAGAGCGCAGAACACCGCCACCAAAGCTGCCGCTCAGAGACTTGCACAGGTTATGTCGCATCAAACAGGAGTTGACGACGACGACGACGATGACGACATTGCTCTTGACTATTCCACGATTAGTGGCGCCGGAAGTATTGGTCTCGGTGGTGGAAGACCAATGCCAACTCGCTCTCCCATGGTAACTGCCTTCACTCCCTTCCACATCACTGTATACTATTAATCGCTTTGCTTGCTTAATTATGTTTATAATTATATTCCTTTTAAACGTCCTTCGAATTCGATGATATTGCTATTCTATTAGGCAGTTCGGAACGTTCAAGAACAACCTCCATCCGCAAGATCGCGGTCACCAATGGTAATTTGATTTTCACAACCTTTGAATTATTAGATCATTATTGAGGTAGTGGTTTATTTCAATTCTGAAATCTTCGGTTTCATTGCTGTTACTATTAGTCAGTTCGCTCTGCTCAAGAACAACCTCTATCCGCAAGATCACGGTCTCCAATGGTAATTTGACTTTCACAGCCTTTGAGTTTTTAGATCATTACGCTTTACTTGAAATCTGAAACCTCCGGTCTCCATGTTGTTTCTATTAGTCAGTTCGCTCTGCTCAAGAACAACCTCCATCTGCAAGATCGCGCTCCCCGGCGGTAATTGGCTTCTTCATTCATTAATGATCTTATAGTCAAGTGAAAAACGCTGCTTAATTGGAACAAGTTGATGAGGCTTTGACTTTGTTTCTATTAGGCAGTTCGCACCGCTGTAGAACAACCCCAATCTGTAAGAGCCATATCGAGTGTTCGATCAACTGTCTCTGCATATGCTGTTGAGCAACCTCCACCTAGAACAGCCACGCCTGTGGAGCAACAACCACCCTCTGCTCGTTCAACAACAGCAAACCGAACCCTGGATATGTCTCCCTCCACTCGCACTATACTCGTTACTCGGTCTTCTCAACCCAGTAATGCGAGCAATGATCAACCTCCATCTGCTCGCTCAACCTCAGGCCGCCCCAGTGGACTTTCTAAGGTGGTTCCCATGGTGCCGCCTAGTGTACCTATCACACTCAGGCCAGCCTTTTCTGGTGGTATTCCTCCTTCAGAGTCTCCTTTTGATATTAGAAAAGACAGGAGGTATGCTGCTGTTCCTGTTCTCTCCTTTTTGAGAAACGATAATACACAATGGATTCATATATGCTTCCTCTTTTCTTGGTTCTTTTCTACGTGCGTCTATGTCTAAGTCTTATTTACTCTGTTCAAATTCCAATTAATGTATAATAGAGGAATCATACTCCACATTTCTTTAATAATAGGTTCAAAATGTATGCCATAAAGTTAGGAATGACATTGAGATCCAAAATTTACTTTCCAATTCATATCATTTATGTAATGCTATGTGCTTCTGATGAACATGTAGATTGTCACTTGATCTGGGGAGTATGAAAGTAAGAGAAGCTGCCAATCAGCCGCAGCGTCCAACTTCTGAGCTTGAGGATGAGGTATGGTCCATGGTTCTTGGACACTCGATCTAAACATTGTATTCATGCCTTTTTTGTTTGTTAGTTGTTTCGTTTCAATGTCACACATGAAGCAACCCGCTATGTGTTTGTACTTGTTCCTCCCCCCATCCCCCTTTAATTTTGTTGCACCTGAATTTCTTATTCTTCCACTGCCTTGGACATGCATCACTGCTATCTCTTTTCAGGATTTTACTAATGAGGTGCAAATTTTAATGCAGCTTGATATGGTACAAGAGGAAAACGACAATTTGGTCGAAAAGGTGATTAAATACAACGGATTGAGTGATTGTTCTCCTTATAGACACACTAGTTTTTTTGAGATTCTAGCTGTGTTGCTGATAAGTTATAACATGACACTGTAGAATAAAGAATCGAGTGTTACCTCTGCTTTCTTGCTTTCATTGGTTGAAACACTCGGTTCTTATTTGGATATTGATGCCGTAGCTTCTTTTTAGATTCAGATATAAATTTAGGGTGGATTGGATGTAATGTAACCAACTTAGCACTGTCATATGAATATTGCTGCTGCTTCATTAAGTGATAATACAGCTAAAGGGTGATAAATAATATCAAGATTTTTCATTATGAAAATTGATTTTTTTTTAATATATACTCTCTTTCTGGGCTCACCATTTTGATGTGTATTGACAGCTTCGACTTGCAGAGGAGAAGTGTGAGGAAGCTGAATCAAGGGTTAGGCAACTAGAGCAACAGGTACTACATTTAAGGGAACAGCCGATATGTGCATCTTACTTTGGCAATATTTGTTTCTTCGTTGGTCTAGTTGGACAGGTCACTAGGAATTTGCTAGTAACGGAAGGCTTGAACATCATTAGCGTTGTTGTACAAAAATAAAAATAAAAATCTAGTGCACAAGCGTACATATGATGTCCTTGTGCCAGCCAAGTACATGTAATCAAAGTTTGTGGAACAAAATTTGTTGTGCTTACAGTTTTTTGTCAAAGGAAATTTGATATACAAAATGCTTCATTTGCTACAGCTTATTTATAACAGAATGAAGAAAAATGAAATAGTTCTAAAATGTTCATAATTTTGATGACTGAGAGTGTTACATTTTCAGATTTATGATTATAATGTTATTAGTGCCCAAAGGTGTGTCCACTTCTGATGTCCTGATTTAAGCTAAATATTTTTATTATATTTTGTAATTTAGTTTGAATGTACTTTCACTGTAAATAAGTAAGTTTTACACTGTTATCGAATATAGTATTGTCCCAGTATTCAACGAATTTAAAGTCTCATGTATCGTAAAACTCATTAAATAATGTAATAATACACCATTATGTAACGGTATAAAATTTATTTACACTAACCATATAACAAAATCAAAGCAAATTTTTTTGGAGGACTAGCAGACCAGAGTACGTTCTGCGATACTAGAATCGCAGGTGGGGTAAAATTAACATTAGTACTAATTATCCCTGACATTTGATATACTTCCTATAGGTTGCTAATCTTGGAGAAGGTGTGACTTTAGAGGCTCGGCTTTTAAGCAGGCAAGTTTAGCATTGAGAAGAGTTGGTATGGTACAAAATCCCCCAGGCAGACGACACACTTGAACACTTGTGGTTAGGTTAAAGTTAATTCCCCTTCCCATTTGGGTAAGGTTTAAAATATGAACATTGTTGTCCAATTGTAATTTTCTAAATCCTCTTTACTTTTCTGTTCATTAATCCTTTTATTTTTTGTGTTTTATGATTTTTCTTCTTCTTAGATTAGACCTAATTTGCGCCATTTATTGAATCTATTCCAATGCATATAGTGAAATTTTGAAGGAAATACATCTACTATTTGATGGGTGAGTGTTTTCAAGAAGATTATCAACTGCACCAGAAAAAGTAACTAACATTAAAAAGAAAGACCACAGTCAAGCTGAGTGTTTTTATATATATATAACATGAAAAAAGTGTGTGTCATTTTAAACGATACAAGTTGTGTTATTTTATAGACACAAAGAGGCGGGATCCATACCTTTATTTTTTTGAGATAAGTTATTCTACTTACTTTTTTTGTTTTTTGCTTATTTTTACTTACCACTCTCTAACATCATAATCTCAACTACCTTTATTATTTCTCTCTCATGATAAAATTTTAATCTAATCGTATTGGAGAGTAATAGATAAAGATAGGCAAAAAAAAAGAAGTAGATAGAATAACCTATTTCTATTTATTTATTTGTCTTTATTTTTATTTTTTAAATGGGATCCACGTCTCTTTATGTTTATGAAATTACACAATTTATTTCATTTTAAATGATAGATACTTTTTTCTTATAACATTGGAATGAATGTGAACTTAAGCAAAACCACAAGTGATCGGGTAAGTTCAGTTTCCCTAACCATTTTTGTATTCTGACTTGTGTTGTTCGTTTTATTTTTCAGAAAGGAGGCAGCACTGCAGCGAAGAGAGGTTTATCTCCTTTTACTTTCCTTAACTCTTTCTCCATTTCTTTATGCATTATATAACCATGCTGCTAGGACCAGGAGAGGTTTCTGTTCCCAGTAGCTACGCATCTATTACCGACATATTAATTTATCAAAGAAACTTGTGTGTGGAATCGTGGTGTAATAGTATATATCTCTATCATAAGCGGTGTTAAATAACAATAACTCGCGCACTTTTCAGTTTTTTATACATTGGATTTTTACTAATTCGTACATTCAGGTTTTATTCTCTGAATTTTTTGTCAGTTAAATCCACCTTTTTTTGGTAGTTAGTTAAACCCACCTTTATTGTAATAAAACTCAGTCTTTATGTTTCGTAACGAGATTATTTTTTATTATATATTTTAAAAAAAATTTAAGTTATTAATTATTTTTCATTTTTTACTTGATTTTTTTAAAACCTAAATAACAACTATTTATATTCTTATTATGTTATTTTTTTCCCTAAATTTCATTTTCTTATACTCTCTAATTAATTATTTTAAATTTCTATTTTTACATTAAAATTTGATAATTCTCTTAAAATCTCAATGGTCTTATTATTGTATATTGAATTAGAGTTCGTAGTTTTTGCTGCAGTTACCGCAGATAAGTTATCTGCAGTAAATCCAATATGACGTTATTATGGAAAGAAAATTATGGTATTTTTGTAATTTAATTTATTTCAGGATTATTATAGTCTTTATAATTATAATTTTTTAATCCCAAAACGACGTCGTTTTGAGAGTAAATGCAGATAACTTATCTGCAGTAACTGCATAAATATTTTTCTGATTGAATTATAGTATATATTCTTAAAAGTGGCTTTATTTTTTAATCAACTCGCTCTTAAAGAATAAACATTTAAGACTAGAAATAGATCAAGCAACCTATCGGAGCCTATATAATTTGGTCTACTTTAAGCCTAATCAGGCCTGGTCTATTTAGTAAATAAAATAAGTTTAGGCTTTTAAAAAATCAAAATCTAATTTAAAAGCCTACAGGTTGACCTATTAATTATTTTAATAAAATAATATATTTATAATATATATTATTCACTTTAATTATAACCCTAATTTGTTTTCTTCTCTTGTGCTTCTTTAATTTTTACACTCTCACGCAGTCACTGCACCTCTATCTTTGCTCTTTGTATGACAAATTCATACCTAAACTCATTTTCCAATACATAAATTTTTTGGTACAAAAGAAGATATGGTGTTAAAATTTTGCCGATTGATCCTCCTCCCTCCCTTCTCTCTTTTTATACTACATCATTGTTCTGAGTTTTTTATTATAATTTTGTTTGTAATTTGGCAGATCTAAAAAGTCTTTTAGGTCATATTAGGCTTTTCAATTTTTTATAATAGGTCAGGTTAAGCTTAATAGTTCAGTATAGACTTTAAAATTTTTATATAAATTTAAGCTATTAAAGCTAAAATTTGGCCTAACCAAGTCCATTTCCACCTTTATAAACTTGTTATTCTACAAAAAAAGGGAGGATAGAAAAGAAGAAAAAAGAGATTAAAAAAAAAAACTAGCTACTAAATAGAACAATAGAAATTTTTCAGTTTTTAATTTAAAAGAAATTATGCATAACTTTTATATAATTTTAAAGCTTTTTTAATTTATAGTTGTTAGATTCTACCTGAGTTAATAAGTATATATTTATTATAATTTTAAATATTTCTTTTTTTATTTTTTAATTTATTTTTTCAAATTTTATCTAGGGTTTAATGTTTCTAAAGTTATTTTAATAAATTTATCTAATGTTCATCAAAATACACACACAAAAGTGTACATGGCCAATGTTTTTTTTTTTCTCTCTCTTCTCTTCACATGGGTCCACATAGACCCATGCATTTTTTTGTTTATTTTGATGAACATTACATAAAGTTATTTAAAATAATTTTAGAAACTTTAAACCAAAAAGTCCCACACACTTTTTTGTGCATATTTTCGTGAATATTAGATAAAGTTATCTAAAGTAACTTTAAAAATTTTAAACCAAAAATAAAATAAAAAATAAAAAAAAATACAGGAAAAAAAGTCCAAAAATATCTAAATCAAAAAGAAGAAAATAAATTTAGGACCAAAAAATAGAACAAAAATAAGATCAAATATATCCAAAACTTACAATTGTAATATAAAATACTAAAAATAAAAAAAAAATGAAAATTGCCTATATCAAAAAAGAAGAAACAAAATTGAAGACAAAAAAAAACAAGGCAACATATATCTAAATCAAAAAGAAGAAAATAAAATGAGAACAAAAGAAATTAGAAAAAAAAAAATCAAATACAGAAACTTATAACACTTTCTTTTTCTTCTATTTTTTTTGGGTCTTATTTTGTCTTATATTTTTTTAATAGTAATAGAAAAAACTAAAAGTGAAAAAAATGAAAATAGAATAAACCACAACTATTGTTAACCAAGGAAAAAAAGAAAAAAAATTAAATATGTATAAATCAAAAAGAATAAAATAGACTAACGATATTTTAAAAACTTGAGGAAAGATCTGTTTACAAACTTTTTGAATTTTTCTTACAAATTACCATATCTTCTCCTATAGTGTAATTTGTAAGAGTTTGTAAACAAAAAAGTTTGTAAATATAACATGTCCCTAAAAACTTAATGTTACATTCTTTAAAAGGGACAAATATTTTTTCCGAAACTTATAATACTAAAAAACATTTCTTCTATTTCTTTTAACTGTGATAAAAAAAATTAAATGTCAAAAAATTAAAAATAGATGAAAAAAAGACTAAATATATTTAAATCAAAAAGAAGAAAATAGATTGAGGACATAAAAAGAAAAATACGATAAAAAATATTGGAAACGTACAGCATTAATTTCTTTTTCTTTTTTATCTTATTTTTTCTTCTATTTTTTTTTTTTTGTCTTGAGTCTATTTTCTTCTTTTTTGATTTAGACTATTTTCACTTTTTTTTTACTTTTAGTCTTTTTTATAAGTTTCTAATATATTTGGTTTTATCTTTTCTTTTTTGTCTTGAGTCGTTTTTCTTCTTTTTTGATTTAGATATATTTGAACTTTTTTTTTCTATTTTGATTTTTTTTTCTTTTGATTTTTTTGTAAATGTAGTAAGTTTTTAAACCATAATAAATAAGTGATAAAAAAAAATAAAGGTATAAGTTATTTAGAGCAAAATCACGGGACAATTTTATTTTATGTTAGTTTATTCATATAAAGTGAAGAGGTTAAAGCCCCAAAACAAACTACACTGCGATGGATAAATGTGAAACAGTGGCCGAGCGAGCAAATACGAAATTTGATATCATGTCACGAGGCTCTCATAAAAATGTGATTAGGGAGAATGACGAACATAGTTTCCTTTTTCAGGCTGCTCTGAGAAGTGCGTCAAAGAATCATGGAGGCTTTCAAGCCGTTGCAGCGGGCGATGCTGAGGTATCCGGCAATTTACCTTGTACGTTTTATGGTTTTGTTTCAAAAAAATTTGCAAATTGTATATATTGATTTATTTACATGCACTATTTCATTAAGCTGAGTTAGAATGTAGTCTGTTAAAGTTGTTAGTGGCTGTTAGCACACTCTGTTTTCCATTTTGTTATTATTTCATGCACGTGTAAATTAGTTAGTAGTGGTACTGTGTATATAACACACTTTGTATCTGAAGTTTAGCATAATGAGAATTATTCAGTTTTCTCAATTCAAGATTCTCAACTTTCTCTCAAATGTTACGGGGAGGCTCACCTTCATGGGCCAAAGACTATATCTCCCAAATGTAAAAGTGGGAAGCCCAATTGTTAGTAGAGCTTTTAGTAGTCCATTTGTAAATAGCAGCAGATAGTGTATACTGGGGTTATCTGTCAGTTGGGAAAAATGATAGGAAATGGTTCCTATCTGAAGAATATGAAGGAAAAATTCAAGAACTGAGAATAACAGAAAGAGAGAAGAAAAAAACGAAACTGAAAAGAAGTTTATTGATACTATTCAGATGTGTTCCCACACTGACACAGGGTTCTATTTATTACAACTCAATCATATCAACCAATTAACAATTTGCCACGACATCTCACTAATGGCAGCCTCAGTTCCCAACTGACAGATAACCCCCCCTTCCAGTAGATACTATCTGCTGTTATTTACAAATGGACTACTAAAAGCTCTACTAACAATTGGCTTCCCACTTTTACATTTGGGAGATATAGTTTTTGGCCCATGAAGGTGAGCCTAACATTCGTTCAACTTTGAGTATAGCTTACAAGTAACGAAAATAAATTATCTCATGTTTAGATTTTAACGTGAGAATTTGAGCTTTTTTTTGTAAGGGTTTGTCTACTCTCATGGTAGGAGAGAGCATATTTTATGCTAAGACACAAAATGATGGGACCCACCACTAAAAAAGAGAAAAGAAAAGAAAAGAAAATAACAGTACACTTATCGAAGTGTCTATGACATAAGATAGTAGTCTCCTACAACATAAGATTACTATTTCTCTTTTTGTAATTAGACAAGAATAAAACTACCGACAAGGATTGCCGTCATCCTATTTTCATTACCCGAGATTTAATAAAGAATAATTTTTTAATGTGTTATGAAAATTTTGTATTTATTTTTTTTTATTTTTGAAGTCACAGGAAATCGAACACATCTACACACACTAAATACACTCCCTATTACACACACCCACACCACTAGGCTAGCGCTAGTGGATATTTTTCTATCATAAACATTCATAACTCTTATATAATTCGATCTATTTAATGTTTCATTAAAAAAGTAGACTTCATGATTTTTTTCATGTAAAAAAACCTAGGATTATTCATTTCCTAAAAGCATTGTGCTTATATAATTTAATTCAAATTTCTCATTCTTTTGTGTCAGGCTGCATTGGAGGAGACGACGTCTGCATTGGAGAAGCTACGGCTTATGACTCAACGAATGATACTTACCTCAGAAGAAATGGTTAGGGTTTAATTTTAATAACAATTTTTTTTCATTTTAATAATCTTCTAGATAGTTTATGTGATTTTCAGTTTTGTCTATTAGGAAGAGGTTGTTTTAAAGAGGTGTTGGCTAGCTCAGTATTGGGGTCTATGCGTTAAACATGGTAAAGTCATCTGATTATTTGGTAAAATATAAGTATGATTTGCTTTTGTTTACATTTGAAAGTCTGGATTATCTACATGTATAGTTTTCAATTTCATTATACTTTTAAATAACTAGAGGGATAAATATTGAATACTACTATCGCACTAAGCATATCTTGAGTACTACCCGATAATCTCGTATTATAATTATGTATTTTGAAAAATATATAATTAATATTAATTTTTTTTTTTTTCTACTTAAAGTTTAATAGAAAGAGAAAAAAAAATTAATATTATAATTATATACTCTCTCAAATATATAGTTATAGTCCGACTCACTCAGAGTGCGTGGTGCAAGATAATACTAAAAATTTGTTTGGGTGGGGAGGTGGGATAGAGGGTGGAAATCTCACATTCCATTTAATGCCTCTGAAATATATGGCAGGTATTCTTGCTGAGATTGCTGAAGCAAGATATAAATACTGGTCTAAGTACGCTCCCAATCCGATTGCAGTTGTATTAGCTGCTGGAGAGAAAGCTAAAGGGGAAACAGGTAATTACTCTGTATCCCCCCCCCCTGTTTTAGTTGTTTGCTTTCTATATTTTTTCCCCCCCTCAGTTACGTTATGTACCTCTTGAAAATAAGTTGGAGTGATTAACTAACAACTGCCCTTAATTTTTGTGCAACACTACAGACCTCGACTTAGAGGATACAGAAGATCAACGTGACCTGAATGAACTTTCTGGAGAGGGAAATATTGAGAACATGCTTTTTGTCGAGCAAGGTTTGCGGGAATTAGCTTCACTAAAGGTGTCTATCATATTCTTACTTTTAAAAATGTGCAGGCGCCATGTCCTTTATTTAGTTAATTTGCCTAAAGTCTAAACGGTATGGAGTGAATGGAGAACCTCTGAAAATTGTTTCACGTGGTAGATAATACTGACTTGTGCTGTTCGAGCAGTGTTTTCATTAATATTCAATGACATTTGTTAGTTACCGAGGAGAAAAAAGGGGCTTTGCCATGACTGGCTCTCTTCTTTGTAATTGTTTTAAAGGTAGAAGAAGCATTGGCAGTTGCATTGGCTCAACATAGGCGACCAAATATGCTGAAAGCTGGTTTTTCAGGTGCAAAGTTCTATAATTCATGCACTAATTTTTTTATCTACAAATGCAGCCGTCATCTCTCAATTAGCATGTGTATTGTAGATTTGCCCCCGAATCGTGCAGATTAACAATTTTTTACTGAGTGATTCAAGTTCAGCTTCGCATTATTTCTTCTGTAAAGTATCACATGCTCACTATCCTCGATACAATCAATCAGAAATTTTACGTCCTTTGCTAAATAAAAAATAAAAGACGGGGGAGAAGCCAAGTCCTATTATTAAGGGATTTTTTAATCGATTTCGTGGGTTTCATTCTCTCAATGGTTGCTATATGCATGGGGGTCTGACTCTGGTCTTGATTTCTTGGTGTAGATGACTTGAAACTACCAATTGAAGGGCAGTGTGATGCATTTGGTAAGTTTCCTATGACAAACTTTGCATTTGCCATGAAGATGTCGTAAAAAGTTAAGTGCTGGTGGAGTCATAATATTATTTGATAGTAAACAAGTAAGCTCAGCTTTGCGTCTTGTCTGTAATGAGAAGACCAGCTCGTGGCACTTTAGTTTTGTTACACCCACTACCATTTTTTTCTTCCTCGAGTATCATCGTCACACCTTGCATGTCTGTAAGTTGATTCACATTGAGACTGTCACAGTACCTGAAATGATTTATTTTTTTTTTTAAATAACTCTATTCTTCAATTACATTAATGTTGTATGTTTCATTTAAAGATAATTTTTTTACTTTCAGAATTGAGCCAGGAGGAGGCTGAAGATGTATCATTTAAGCAGGTACATGCAACAATATTTTCATTGTTTCTTCAATATTTTTCTCCTGCCATTTCTTTAATATTCTCCTCCTTTGTCAACTCTCCTCCTCCTTGCTATTTTTCTTGGAAAAGGAAAAATAGAATGGTGTAAATGGGTTAGGCCAGCTTATAGGGACTTACGGCCTAGCCTATATTAGCCCAGACTTGACCTATTACAACTAGTATATAATAGGCCTAGGTTGTTAAAAAAATCTATTTAGAAAACAGGGCCATAGACTTTTTTTACATATCGGACCTATAAGCTTACTGGTCAGCTTATATCATATTATTTATTTTAAATAAAATTATTATTTTAATAATTTTGAATAATAAAATAATATTATTTTAATTGTTCTTTTAATTGTTGAATGTTTAATAGACTTAAATAAGCTAACACGCCTAGGCAAAGGCTTTTATTTTTTAAATATAGGTCAAGCCAAACTTGTAATTTAGGGCCTACACAGGCTAGTAGGCTAGACTTGACAAAACATTTTTTATATAGACCTAGCTATTTAACTCAAAACCTAACCTAACTCAACCTATTTACACACTACTCACATCCAGAGGACTTATTTCTTTGTGTTTCGAAAGGGTTAACCCAGGAAGCAAGACTTTAAATGTAAAGATAGCAAATTTGAGGTTGGGGGTGTGGAGAGAGAAAAAGGAAGAGAAAAACAAGCAATCAGCTTGCATCTTGGAACAAGCTTACTGTATGTTACTTAAATTATCTGCTGAAGCTCGGGAAATTTTATCAGAATGAAGGAGGTTCATAAAAGCTGGAAAATGTGTTTTCAGTGAGTTACTTGGAATAAAATCTGGGAAAATTTTTATAAATTTAAGTGACCAGAGTTTGTTTTTTATTTGTATTTTTAGCTTATATTTTTTTATAATTATAAGATATCATATTATTTTCACATTATTAGTTGTTTTTAAAATGTTATAGAAGAAATGATAAAAGTAAAGATTTATTTTCACCAATTTCTTCATAAAAGTTAAAAAATAGGAAACAAAGTAAAAATAAGAGAGTATTTTTATAATTATTGGTATACACATAGGGATAGGATATTGTGACAACCAAATAATGTTACTACCACATCTTAACCGTTGATTTTCATCAATCAACGGTTATCATTTTTCAAATCAAACTCATTAATTAATTATTAATTCACAATAAATGATAACCGTTGATTGACGAAAATAAACGGTTAAGATGTGGTAGTAACATTGGTAGTAACATTATTTGGTTGTCACAATATCCTATCCCATAAACATATCAACTAAAAAACTAAAAAATAAACCAAACACCACTTTAAAATTTTGTTGCTTTCATCATTCTCTTTGTAAAATTTTTAAAATAAAAAATAAAGTGGTACTTTTATAATTATTAGTAAGAATATATCAATTGAAAATGAAGTAATATAAACCAAACACCGCTTAAGTTTTCTGTTATTGTGATCTAAAGTCAAATAATATATTATTCCTTCGAATGAATTTTTAAATTAACTCTTAAAATATTTAGCATCAAGTATATTAGTTCTTAAAAATGAAAAAATATCACCTTAGTCCATGAAAATCATTAATGTCAAACTGTTAATCATATTAGTCTTTTAAGTGTCAAACAAATTAGTTCTTAAAAATAAGTAATGTACCATATATTTATGATTATTATGGATGGGGTAGAACTTTTAAATTTCAAATAAAAGTAAGTGCACCTGCTAGTTGGTGCATTGGAATTTAGTAGGTAGTGAAAGGATCGGTTTGATTCTCATCAGTATCGTGTTAGGAAGGAGTTTAAAACTTTAATTCTTGACATGTTTTAAACTCTGAATTAGTCTCATAAACAGTTCAAAGAATCGAATTCCTGAAAATATATCAGGTGATCCGATTTAAAAAAAAAAAAAAAAAATAGAAGCCAGTACACACGTAACATTTGCAATGTACTTTCTTCTCTTTTGGGGTAATTTATTAAGAAGGATACAGATTTGACTATATTTGGAGTTTTTAAGTGTCTAACATATTAATTCTTGAAAATAACTAATATACCATATATTCATGATTATTATGTACCGGGTAGAACTTTTAATTTCCAATAGAAGCGCGTACACGATAAAATTTGCTAGGTACTTTCTTATCTGTTGGGGTAATTTATTAAGAAGGATACCGATTTGACTATTTCGAGCTTTTCTGGACTATTCTTCTTTAACGTGTCCGCATCAGCTGCGTTTGATAATGTTTATGGGTTCTTGTCTACCTGTTCGTTTTAGGCTTGGCTTACTTATATTTGGAGGAGAGCAAAACGGCATGAAATAGAACCTGACATAGCAGATGAGCGTTTGCAGTATTGGATCAATCATAATTCTAGGACTCCAAACTCACAAGATGCAGTTGACGGTACAGTCCATCTTTTTCCTCCATCCCTTGTAATTTACCTGCAAACCTCAAAAGTATTACGGTATTGGTTCCGCCATATTCATTTTTGGATGAAAATTAAGACCTTGTTATTGTAGTTTTGTCTTCTGTAGCCAGTGTTTATGGTTCATTCTACGTGTCTAGGAATAAAGAGTCGTAGATAAATTTGTGAGTTATTTCCGTTTATACTAAGTCACCCTTTATGGATGAAAATTTGTGAAGTACTTGGAAGATTGAAAGATCTACTCTAGTATATATTCTGCCAACTGTAGTGGTTTTACCTGCGAATAGTATAGGCTATAGCATGCTAAACAACTCAGAATTATCATTTTACTAGTCTGTGGTACTTTGTAAATATTAATAACCATCTCTTGTAAATTTTTTACATCTGTTTCGAATATCATCTTCTAGTACTTTATCCTTTCTGCAGTTGAGCGTGGACTTGCAGAGATCAAAAAGTTGGGTATTGAAACGCAGCTGTGGGATGAATCTCGCAAAGAATTGGAGCAAGATATTGACAATGCCAAAAAGCCCAGTCGCTCTGATTTCTGATATAGACAGCTGAAACCGATTTGTTCAAAGTATTGTTCCTTTCACAAACTATTCTAAAATGGGCTCTCTCTTTTTTTGGTATCCAAAAAAATGGGCTTTGTTTAGTTACATGCGAAGGGTTGGAGTAAAATAGGATATATTTTCACTTTATTATATTTCATAAAACAGAACTATCAGTTATTATGATAATGTAAGAATCTTTATATTAATAATAGAATAGATTCATTTCTTTATAAAAAAAAAATTCATATTTTTATTTTTACTCTGGTGCATTATGATTGTGTTTGATAAAAACATTGTCAATAATTTGTTAATTCTTTCTAAAAATTACTTTCTCTTAATTATAATTTTATTTTCTAGTTTAAATTGTATTTGATTTTTTTTTTTTGGCTACAATCTATCGATTATATTTTATAAAATCTGTTTGTATAATTTTTATGTCTGCAGGAATATTATATAATATTTTGTACTACATTTAATCGAAATGGAATTTTGAATAATTTTTATAATTTTTATGTCTGAAGGAATATTTTATAGTTATGATTGAATATTAAAAGTGGTTTAACTAAAATAGTAATGTTCTTTTTTTTTTTGGATAGTCAAAATAATTAAGTTCTTTAATAATATACGAATATGTGACTAAATGATAATATAAACAAATTTAAAATTAAAATTATTAAATTTATTACCTGAAGTTATCTTGATAATATTTTTTGAGACTTTGACCTAAACTACTCCACCAACATTGAAAAATTAATTAACTTAAGTCTTACTCAAAACAAGAAAATGGTAAGAAAGAAGCACTAAAATATATATATTTTTTTCTCAGTATTTGTACTCCTTTAAAATAGGAACTTAATCTCATTGAAATTGTGATTCGGGAATTAATAACATGTTTAATATATATATATATATATATATATATATATATATATATATATATATATTCAGCAAATAAATTCAGAGAATCATGAACATACAAAGGGGGTGAAAGCATTAAATGCGATGAATCATAATTAATCATCGGTGTAAGATTTATTGCTGGACGTCCAGCGACCAGAGAAATATAACAAATCTGAATCGTTGATTTTCGTGCATCTAACAGTTGAGATTTATTGGGTCTCACTTATTAATTAATTATTAATTTCCAATAAATATCAACCATTAAATGTACGTAAATCAATAATTAAAATTTAGTGTAAGACTTATAATTTTTACAACAGTATAAAATGATTCTGCCTATATATATATATATTCCTTTAAAAAAATATAAAATTATCAGATATCTAACTCTTTGTCAAATAAATGTGAGCTAAAAGCAACAATTGTTCAACTGCTGGGAATTGGTCAACTCTTTTTGGTATTGTGTGCTGGTTAATTTGTAAAGCAAGAAATGAATGGATTTTTTAGCATTTGGAGACTGATCCTGCTAGCATTATTCGTTCAGCTTTTCTTTTGAGAGATAATTACTTCCAAGCTCAATTGCTACTGAAAGAGGGCGGTCTTCGGTTGCAATCAGCTAGGATTCAAACTTTCACTAATTGGAAGTTTCCTTTAGAAGGGTGGATAAAGATTAATACAGATGGTTCTTGTGCTCGAGGTGGATTACAATCTGGATGTGGAAGGGATATAAGAGATTATAGAGGTGATTGGTTAGCTGGTTTCTCAAAGAATTTGGGGCATAATTCATCGGTTGCTACTGAGATTTGGGGTTCTTATTTGGGACTTCAAATAGCTTAGGAATGTGGCTATAGAAAGGTGTGGCTTGAAGGTGACTCGTTGCAATTAATTTATTTTCCAAACAAAATACTGAGATGCATCCTTTACATGGACTGATTTTACGTATCAAGGAATTATTGGGGAGAAGCTGGCAGGTTTATGTCTCTTATACTTATAGAGAAGCGAATGGGGTAGTTGATTGGTTAGCTACGCATGCTTTTTCTGCAAACTGGGATGTTCAGTTTTTTAACACACCTCCTGTAGGTTGCAAAGATAGATTTCTTCAAGATTATAGAGGGTAGCTTTCCCTCGCTTTGTTTTAGCCTAGTTTATTTTCTCTATGTATTACAAAAAAAAAAAAAAACAACAATTGTATCATTCATATCTTAGTGGAATTCTTGAGATATGGTTGTGCAGTGTTGTAGGAGAAGAATCAATCAATTTCATGAAAAATTTTAATGGAATTCATACATGATAAACTTTTTGACTTCACAAAGACTTGTGGTAGGCTGCTTTTTGATTCTTTTGCCCTTCATTAATTAATTAATAACCATTTTGCTCCCTATCCAAAACTATCTACCAATCTGCCCCTCTTTAATCGATTTTTTTTGTTTCCCAAGGTATCCTCCAGCCGACAGCCGAAAACTAATCCTTTCGAGGCGGAAGATCACATTAAGTGGGTAAACCTCTCCCAACAAAGCCTTTTCCATACGCACGGCCAGGAATCGAACCCCTGTCAGCATGCTTAAGGAACTCAGCTATCTACCAACTGTGACTTGAAGATTGAATCGATTAAATATCCCTCTGAATTGATTTAATCGATTGAAACTTATATTTAATCGATTAAATATCCCAAATGAGCGCGAAAGCATTGATTGAATGAGACAAATACGATATTGTGAATTATTTGAATTTTGAATTTTAAATTTAATGTAATAGGAGTTGATTGCGATTTGTATTTATTAGGAGCTGATTGGTCCTATTAAATACAAAACGCAATCAGCTCCTATTAAATACAAAACGCAATCAGCTCCTATTAAATAGAAATCGCAATCAGCTCCTATTACATTAAATTCAAAATTCAAATAACATACAATACACGAAAAACTGATTCAAAATTCTGCTAATTAAAAACTGATTTAGGAAGGGTTTGTTGTTCGTCTTGATCGCTGTCATCGTTCCGAGGTTGACAATACGATCACTTCGCGCCATTTGTCATGTAATAAGCAAGGTTTTCATGTGAGAGGTAGAAATGGAGCCAGGCTTGTTCATGTAAATCAATCCAGTTTCCGAGAATCGTTTTTCTTTTCGTGCTATTGCTAAATCAAACCATTAACAGTGTTTGCATTTGCGTTTGCATTTGCTTATCATATTTTAAAACCTAATAGGTTGGCGTACTATATCAAAAGGAAAGTAACAAAATCAGTTCATGTAAATCAATCCAGTTTCCAATAATCATTTTTCTTTTGTTGGTTTCTTTGTGTGTTTGGTTATCTATGCTTGTTGATTTGCTTCATATGCATGGAATCTGCTTTTGTTTATGGAGGAGATTTGACCTTTGTTGCCTGTTGGGAGATTTAATCGATTAACTTAAAGATTTAATCGATTAAATCTTCAAGTCAATTATTTTTGTCAGTTTTGACCATTTAATCGATTAAATCTTCAAGTTAATCGATTAAAGAGTAGCAGATTGATAGATAATTTTAAATAAGAGACAAAATAGTTATTAATTAATTAATTAAGGGTAAAATGGTCAAAAAAAACCTGTGGTATCCATCCCTGTTATGATTTACATGACATTAAAAAATAGAATGATTAATGGTAAGATGATTAGAGTATCTCAATAGTTAGTATAAACAGTTGAATTATTGTAAACTTACTACAAATATATAAAATTTGTTGGATGTAACACCCCGTATATATCCGATAATATTATCATACTATCGTATTAAGCTGTGCTTAATTAAAAATGCGGAATATCTTTTTCTTTTCAATTATGACGTCATTATAATTATCAACTTGCTTAATTAATCAATTAAATAAATCATGCTTGTATGTAAATTGCAAAAGACATCTAACTGAAATACCTCATTAATCAAAATAACATAAGTATGTCTTTAGTCACGGAGCTACAACACGTAGACCGAACCAACTAGCAGTTTATACAACTCAGACTAAAGGTACTAACAACATAGTGGCATGGACAACTCACATGCTCACCCAAATAAGGCAACAAAGCCCAATAGAAAGTCTAAACTCAAATCATAAAGAGCAGAAAATATAAACAGCATCCAATCCAGTCATGTCAGCAATACAACATAAATATCATAATCAGCTAAGCTCTGGCCTCCTGCCGCCAGAGGCATCAGTCCCCCTACTCCCTGAACCTGAAATAAGCATTCCCCAAACGTGGGGTGAGATATCTAAACAAGAAATCTCAGTAAGGCAAGGGGTCCTCAAGGGTCTTCCACCCCAAGCTCACTTACATGTGCAATATAAGTTCAAAAACAATTTATCATCATCAGTTCTAAAATAGTGCAATGCAGCAGATAATCATGCCATGTGTGTCAATTCTATTCTACTGGTCAGAGAAATGCAGGATTTATATACGTCTAATACCCACACATAGTGCAAGACGCCACTTGCATCCACCCCGGATCACCGTCTTGTATGACGCCACATACTCAGGCTTACCGTCAAGATAGAACAACACATGCATATTAAAAGCCATTACACATAAAGCTCAACAGCATTTCAAATATTCAAAGCATGTAACACAGCATGCATATAACCATACCCCCTTGGGACATGGTGGAACCACAACATGGCTAAACTGAGGACACGAAAGCTTACATTGCAAGCTAACACTCAAAGCCAAGAGTCCACAGCTCAAGTCCAACACACAGCAGATCACAATCTGATATGGACCAATAATAAATCAATAAACAAGCACTACAAGCATACATCATAAAGACAACGTCTTTCTTACGTTTTACGTGTTAAGGCTTCCTATAAAGCCATAAGCTCTTAATCCATTGATTCTGACCTAGTTAAGTAATTACAGAAGTTCAACTTCATCAATCTAGGGTCCACAAACCCCCAAACATAAGTTCTGGATGAACAGTACGCTATTGTTCCTCGTAAACTCAGAATATCCGGATATCTCACTGGAAATATCAGGATATCCAATATCCGGATATCTCACTTGAAATATCAGGATATCCCATATCCGGACATCTCACTCGAAATATCAGGATATTTCGCGACAGAATACAGTTTCTGCATTTCAGGAAGATATCCTTCCAAGGTTCCATTTTATCACTTCCAAACGTCAAAGCATGCATTTTTAGGCACATCTAGGTTTACATACCAGTTGGTTACTTGCTTAACCCATCAAACATACCAAGACACCAACTTTAACCCATTAAACTCATGAACAAGGTTGGTACAACTTACCAAAAGCTTAAACTCAGCAAAAGGGGTGTCCTTGGAGCTCACTACCAACTCCAAAGGTTTCTGACTTCAAGGGTGCACGAAAATACCACCCAAGCAAGGATCTTTCTTCACAAAGATTGCTCCTTGGAGCTCCAACAACCCAAGGAAGCACTCCCACACCAACCAACACAGAAACAGTCCCTCTCCTCACACACACAACCCTCTCAAACTCAGAAAAGGCACCTAAAGCACTCACCCATGCTCACACTCAAGTGTTTACTTGATCAAGAAGAGAAACAATGATCAAAGATGATGTCTTTGGTGAGAAAATGAAGAAGAAAGCCTTAGGACCAAGTGGGGAAGGAGGCACAAAAACTCACGTAGAGTGGCTGAAGAATCAGCCTAGGGTTTAGTGTCAAGCACTATATATATGCGGTTAAGTCACTAACACACAGTATTAGCTTTTATTGCTACGCTTAGCATCTTAATCCCAAACTCAGGATTCTTAACCTACTAAATTTTACAAGAATTATCATATTTTTCTTATAATTTTCGGAGCACCCTTTCCGGTACGCGCTTTTCATAGCTAGTACCAGTTGCTGGCACCAGTTCTCATTATTTTAACTTGAAGCTCGTTTTACAAGTCCTAAATGTTATTCTAGTAATTATCATGCACTTATTATAATTTTTTGGGATAATTTTTTGGTACGCATTTATACCGACTAGCAGAACCGATATCTGCACTTTTCGTCAGAAAAATGACTTTCAGCATTATTACACACTTACTATAATTATTAGGGTCAATTATGAAATTATCTCATTAAACTCATAATTAACTAATTAATTTTTTTAATTAACGGTGCAAATTCTTTTTTTTTTTTAAACTTAAAAATTAATGTTGACGTGACTATCGTGCATTGGGAAAAAAAAATTGTATATGAAATGTGTCTCAATGGATATATATTTTTATTAAAAAGAGAAACTTTTCTCTTTTAATCTATATCCTTTTGTGTATTTTCTATTAAATCCCAAACTTTTATTTTTTTTTGGACAGATGTATCGTACATCTGATGTAACAGAAAAGTGCTCCTTGCATTGAATGTTTAAAAACTTGCTTTGGGATAATCCCCATTAATTGCGGAAGCTTTGGGTATATATAAAGTCAGTATGTTTGGTAGTGAATATGAAATTAGAGGCATCATTTTTTAAGATAATTCTGAGGTGATGTAACATTTTTTTACAGCAGTACTTTATATTTATATCAGTCGAAACTTGATTACATCATTGAAAACATTTTGCTATTGTAAATTTGTAATCATTATTTTCATTTATAAATTTCTCTTGAATACCTCAATAGGAACAATATCATTACCTATCAACTTATCTTTTGGCAGATAAAAAATAAATAAAAAATAAATCCATTAATTGGTCCTCTAAAATTTGAGTTGTTAGCAGGTTAACAATTTACATATTATCAGTCGTTTAAAAATTATGTATAATCATTTTAATTTTTCAAAAATATAAAATAGTTATTAAGTTTATTCTTTTTGCATTATCACTTTAGTTTTTCAGGAAAATAAACATGACGAAATTTTAAATTATCAAAAAATAATTTAATAACAAAATTATATGATAAAACACAATCTTTTTCCCTTTATTCTTTTTAAGAACGGGACAAAAATGTTTACGAAATGAAAACGATAATAACAAAATTTTTGCTAAAAAAAAGTTAATGCGATAAGGTGGCAATCGGGGTAGGTGAAGGTGGTAAGTAGTGTAAGGCTAATAGTGGTTATGCACTTGTCGTGCCACTCGTGCTCTCTCCTTCTAACACACCTCTTTATATAAATAGATAAAACAAACCACAACTCTTTTGATCGCCTCTTCGTTCTAGATTCTTCCATATCTTAAGCGGTGACCTGAGGTACGTTCTTCATCTTTCTCTCTTGATCCACTGCTTCCATTAACAGTTCCTTTCTCTTTTTGTCATTTCTTCAAATCTCTCTCCTCTGATTGTCGATTCCATCTGGTATTTTTTATTTTTTTATTTTTTATTTTTATTTTTATTTTTTTTCGATCATGCGCAGATCGCTTAAGTTGTTGCTCTAGGATTATGATCACATCTTTAGCCTTCGTTTTTTTCTACTACCTTGATTACATGTTGAAGAATGGAGAGAAGAAATAGAATAAATAAGAAACCTAGCACTCTTTTTTTAAGCTCAGCTGCTCTGCATTCGATTTCAGAAATTCTAATAAAAAAATAGTTTTATTTGTTTATTTATTTATTTCTTTCTTTGAACCTATGTTATGCCTATCGAAGCTGGAAGAATTGGAGTCAATCTTTGGTTTACAAATGTTGTTTGGTATTTTTATTTGACTGATATACTGTATAGCTATCGAGTTAGTGTATTGGAATTTGGAGGTTCTTCTTTTTCACATGATAATCATTTTTTACTTGCAGTCAACTCATTAATTTCCTTCTCTTATTTGGAATTAACATGATAAACTTAAGCAATTGAACATAATTATATCTCCATCGAAAGTTTTTAAGAGTTTGTAAGATTTTTTTGTTTCTAGATTGCCATGTATATGTGTGCGCACACACACTAATTAGCGTGTGTAAGTTTCAGCAATTTTGTTCTAAATAGCTGTTTTTTTCAGATCACATTGAACGATGGTGAAGGCTGTGGCAGTTCTTGGAAGCAGTGCGGGTGTTGCTGGAACTATTTACTTCAATCAGGAGGGAAATGGTAAGTTTCAGCAGCGCTTGATTTTCCTGATGATTACGTTTTTCTTTCCTTGTACTGTACTAAGCCAAATCAAATAACATATATTGTGAATTGTCCAGGCCCAACCACCGTAACTGGAAATCTTACTGGTCTTAAGCCTGGCCTCCATGGCTTCCATGTCCATGCCCTTGGGGACACCACTAATGGCTGCATGTCTACTGGTATAGTCCTTAGACAATAATCCATGTCATTTTTATAGTCTGAAGTAATAATGGGACGGAACAAATTGTAAACCGTCACTTTGCTTTAATGAGAAGAAAGTGGAACATTTGTGTGACTGTCTTTCTACTTCATATTCTTCAAAGTTCCGAGCATGGGAATGAAATTTGTAAAAAGTGATTAAATTCTGAAATTCTTTGATCTAGTAATGCCATAAGGCTCAATATTTTGATTTTTTTTATTATTATTAATAATAACAGGACCACATTTCAATCCTAATGGCAAGGAGCATGGTGCCCCTGAGGATGAGAATCGTCATGCTGGTGATCTAGGAAATGTTAATGTCGGTGATGATGGTATAACTTTGTTCTTTTAGTTATATTGCTTAGCAAGATCACCTTGCTTTACTTTTTAGTGACTTTTCATTTTTAAAAGAATTTTTTTTTTTTCCATCATACTGCTTGCTTGTTTGGTCTTTATTTTAAAATGGTTTCCTCCTGTTGTGTGACTCAGGAACCGTCAGCTTCTCTATTACTGACAGTCAGGTACGTTATTCATCTCCTAATCAAAATCTCTGGTGAATTCTTCTAGATGGACACCAAAACTTAGAAGTTTCAATTTTTACTAAGTTACTAAATGCTTGCAGATCCCTCTCAATGGACCACACTCCATCATAGGAAGGGCTGTTGTTGTCCATGCTGATCCTGATGATCTTGGGAAAGGTACCTACAATCACAAATCTATTTTTATTTCTCGGTATGGGAGTCATGGATCATCCGTTTATTATATTGTGTCACAATTCTGTTTCACCTTCCTTAAATATCACGGCTGTTCTTTTTCTTATGTGAGAGCTTTATGTGCTTTTTGGCTTACTACATGTTATATTCTTCGTTATCTTGTGTAGGTGGGCATGAGCTTAGCAAATCTACTGGAAATGCTGGTGGCAGAGTAGCTTGTGGTAAGTATAGACTGCTTGAGTAAATTATGTTTTTTTTTTAACATTCATTTTTACTTATGTAAAATATCAAAATCTTCTACGTGGTTGCGATGCTACAAATTAAGGTTCCGATGATCTTTAGATACTATCAATCATTGTATATGTATATATGTAGTTTGGTTACTGTCTCATGGTTCCTTACAATTTATCCACGTTTGAGATTTTTTTGTTATTTGCTTATATTGACTGTACCGATCTCCCCTTTTTGCTGTTTGTTGGTGCAGGTATTATTGGTTTGCAAGGATGAGCCTACCTTCTCAACCCCCAGGATACATAAAAATGTGCGTTATCAAATGACGAAGCTTTAGACTTTGTGGAATAAACTCGCACCCTTCTCCTGTTTGGTTAGGTCCAGTCTGTACTGCTGAATTCTGTGTTTTGCTCTTAACTTATCAGATGGCTATATGTCAGCACTTGGTGCTTAATCAAATTGTTACTATGCCTAAGTTTGTGTTAGTGTTATTTATATTTCTTGTTTTTACCAGTTTGATGTATGATCTATGAGAAATGTGAGGTTTTCATGATTACTTCAAATTAGATTAGTCTTTTTTGGGCTGTAAACGAGGATAATACTGCCATTATAGAAAGTACGCCCTCGACACTGTCAATAATCTCAGCTTAAAATAAAAAAGAAAAAGAGATCATGACTGAAAAATTGCAACTTTTAAGGTAGAGTCATTAACTGCACAGTAAACCAACTGCTATAGAGGGATTCCCTGTCTCCTGTAGTAGTAGTTCATAACTCGGCAATGATCGATAGCTCTGAATCGAGTGGTATAAGCATGAATATCATTCGAACTAAAAATATCAACAATTTGGTGTTTTCTTTTTTTTATAAATTTTTAAAATAATTGAAAGGACAAATAAATTTAAGTTGATAAATAAAAAGAAATTAAAGTAACAATATTAAATAAATCTTATTTGATTAGTCCATTATTTTGTCTTCATTCATTTGAGAGAGTAGTGTTACATAATCATTCATTGACTCTGCATCAAAATTGGAACAAATACTTCACAAAGTCACTTTATGTGGATTGGTTATGATTTAAATTTTTTGTTTTAAGTCATTTTTAATTTAAAACTATTATACTGAACATTATACTATGAGATGTATTTTAAAACTAGATTTTATATGATTAAATTTGATTCACATATGGTAATTTTGGCCACTGGTGATATCAATTTTTAATTTTTATTTGTAAGTGATTAGTTAGCAGTTTATTTGCTGATGTCACTGTATGTTAGACCTTAGAAATTGCTCAGTCTTTTCTTCCTAAACTCTTTCTTACCAAAGAGAAAGAGAAAAAAAAAAACCAAGTACCAAAAACTGGTAATAGCGCACGTCCTTGTTTGATTTTCACATCATTTTTTTGTCCCATCCTGCATTTCGAATTTTTCTGATAGCCAGCTCAAAAATTAAAGTTTATAGGGATACTGGCAAAGTCAATTCGCCTCAAAGAGAAGAAATTAAGGTTGCGTTAGCTCTAAGGAAAAAAAAAATTGCTGTAACGATGGGTTAGAGAATCCAAAATAAAATTTTACAGCTTTACCGGAGACGCAAAACGTATAGCTCGACTAAGCTTAACGTGATTCTTATGCACGCGTTGATCTTCATAAAATTTACAGTTTAGAAACATTTTACATATATATTTGCTTTCTTCTTAATTCCACTGATGAGGACCGTTGCGTTCAGCTGGCGAGTCGGGAACTACCTGAACAAAACCCCTGCCTCCAAATACTGGACGCATAAATGCATTATCAAACTTACGCCATAAGTGATGAACAGTGTGTGTTGGAGTGGTAAGCAGGTCACGGATGCTGCTTGGATGAGAAATTTCATTGCCATCGAGATCAGCTTCAGATTCTTGCGCATCTCCAAGAAAAGGCACAGTGATTGATTTTGGGGAAGATGACTCTAAGTTTGACATGCTGTTTTTGCGTTTAGGAGGTGGACCTTGAGGCAGCAAATACCTTATGAGTGGCTGAGTCACCAAACCAAACACCTGACAAGTTATAATTAAATTGTGTCAACAGCACCTCTAAACAATTTTGTTTTTTAGTTTTTCTGGGAATGTGGTATTTTTACATATTCGATTCATCATTTGAATTGCTGATGAGATTAATCATTTGAAAACCAATCACTAATCCCTAATCACCACACCACAACTAAGCTAATATCTTAGGTAACTCATATCAACTTTAAAAAAAAAAAAATTGGTGCACGCTCAGTGCGACAATGGTATTATAATTATGTACTCTAGAAAATATACAGTTATAATAATAAAGTTTTTTTTTTCTATCTTTATGAATTTGTAAGTTGACGTGAACTTTAATATTATAATTATGTACTTCAAAAAATATATAATTATAATACCATTATCGCACTGAGTCGTGCGATGGTAGTAGTAAAGTTTTATTCCTATCTTACTTATGAGCTATGTATATAAAATGGTTAACCTAACAGTTATTATCAGTGACTTAGAAAGCAATGAAAAGATAACATCTCTATATTGAAAAGAAACCAATGAACATTGACATAAGATGCAAGGAAACCACAACAAAGCAGGTGTCTTACCACTGTGCTGACAAGCACGACAGTGATAGTGCTGGTGATCATGATGGCACTGGATCGCAGTTCAGTATGCCCCGACAAGGTGAACTGCATTTTATGAGAGTGTCAGTTTTTAAATCATCAACTTAAGATCCTTATCTACAGAGACCATTAACTCATTTTTGCAAAAATGATGACTCCTAATGAGCAGTGTTTCTCCTACCTGATTATAGGCAAGTGCCATGGAAACAGCACCTCTCATAAGACCAGCCCACCAAATGATCACCTAAAACGAGAAAGAATGGAAAACTTGTCAGCCCAAGAAATATACTGTAAAAGAATACTTATTGACAGACAGCAATCTAGCCATACCTGTTGCCTGAGGCTTATTTTCTCATTTGACGACTTTTTAATCAGGTTGGATAAGAAGGATAAGGGGAAAATAAATGCTGCTCTTCCAGCAAGTATTAGACCCAGTAATATTGAACTCACAGCAACAGATATTCCAGGGCTGCAAAAGAAACCGAGTGTGGCACATTAATTGTTATAAGAAATAGAAATTTTGACAAGGAAGATTTTGGAGGATTAAGGACAAAATTTTCAAATGCAAAAAACATAAAGCATCAATTAATACAAGCCACAAGGGCTGTTTCAGTAAAGCGGCTACATCAAACCATCATTTGTTGACTAGGAGGTTTAAGATTCAACCGTTATTCATGAGTACAAAAATGTCAATGGGTTAATGATTATTCACTAGTCCCCGAGAGAAAGCATACCTATCACTAACAAACCTCCATTTGTCAATGTCCAAGGCATCCATACCAACATAAAGGAAGATAAAGGTCTCAGCAACAAATGACAAGGTTGCAAAAGCATGTCTGTACGAGTAAGACGAAAAATATGTAGGTAAATACATATCAAATTGGACAGTGTTACCACCTCAAATAAATCCATATATAGCTTGAACAAATCTGTTTACAAGACATACTTGGTAGTGATTCTTGAGCTCTCGGTCACGTTATGCCAAGTATAATGAGACATAACAATCCCACAAAAGAATACGGTGAGAATGCCACTCAGATACCACAACTGCACAACATGCAACAGATACATCAGCACCATGCTAATGATTGATGTCAACCACAAGAATAGATAGATGTAAAGCTCAAAAAAAGGCATCCTCCACAAAAAACACTCTGTAAGTTCTTTAAAACTTACTTCAGCCAGCATGTAGGATAAGTATGCCATTAGCATCATAAGAGCAACCTCGCGATCTGTGGAGTGCCTGCAATTAGTGAGAAATTTGTTGAACAACTAAGAAATTGTTGCAAATTATTTCATGCCAGGTTTAAAAAACTTGCTCAAGATAAAAACAGACAGAAACACACAGAGACCCAAAGTTAATAAGAGATTCCACTGAACTAAAGCAATTTATTTTCATTTAAGAAAAAATCAAGACTTAAATTGAAAAGATAACAATTCATGTGGGATGTGCCAACAAGAATTCAGGAATTCAGCAGACTTTTTCACTTATACTATGATCCCATGCCTATCCAATCCCATACAATTTCATCTTTAACGGTATATATTCTTCATTAGGCTATTTGATTAAATGTGTTCCCTTCTATGTGGTATGAAATCATTATTTGCAGACAATATCACATTTAGAACAGTTAGTTAATGAACCCCCATTTTTAAAAAAAAAATATATTAATGAACCTCATCACTCTGGCTTCAATCCTGGATTGAACCGGTTAACCTAGACAGTTACTTCAATTAATCAAGCCAAGTTCAGTATAATCTCCATAAACTGTAGACTTTTACAGTGTGGTTAATAAATGATAGATGAATTGAGATTGACTATAATAGGAATTTTATTTAGTATGATCGAATTGTATACTGCTTACTTTTGCATTAATAAACTGCATATACCATATAAAACAAAATAATACTATCATAGTAACTGCTGAACGAAAATGGCAATGGCAAAAATACTTCTTTCAACATGTTACCTGCCAAAATACAGCTTTTTAATAATGTAAGCACTAAGTAGACCAGCCTGCAAGGCAATAAAGACACATTAGACCAGAGTCACATGTGCTATCAATATGCAAGTGCATGATATAGATCTTTTCAGCATGTGCGTGTTGAGAGCGTTTTTAGTGCAACCATCGTACTGAGTATTCAATGCGACGGTTGCACTAAAAATATTTCCGTGTTTGTGATGTGTAGATGAAAATTAAAGGAACTAAGACTGTTACCAAAACTCCAAGCACAGTGCTCGCGGTAAACAGATAAAGGAAGTTGCCCAAAACATGCAAAGCAATTCTGTGGTCTAGTTGCTTGAGGTCAAAACTATTGATTGCATTGAAAAGCACCACTGAGGTAGCATCATTCACAACACCCTCGCCAAATACAAGACTGTAAAGTAAAGGTGTCTCATCCTGGTTGAGCACCTGCATCATCAATCAATCATTCGTAAGTTCAGTACTTAGCATTCACACCTTAATTGCTGGAAGATTCCACAAAATGACATTATTTCAAACCTGCAACGTGCAAACCGAATCTGTCGCAGCAAATATTGCACCAATTGCTGAAATTTTTTGAAAAAAGAGTGAGTCACAAACAGAATGACAAGTTGCCAAATAGATGCGATTGATTAATAAAATACCCAGATAATCCTTTATCTCCAGTGAACCAATATGCATCCTCTTAAAAATTTGCGTGACGCCTGAAACAATGCTTCAAAAGTTCAAGTCAGATCAGAATTAGACAATTTTCAATATGGACAGCTTGCTTAAAGTAATTATACAATTTTTCTCCAGGGAAATGTTTTTAAACCATAAAAAACTTCCAATTAACACATTTAGATTAGTAACAAATTAACAAGACTCTGATATGCCAAATTTTTTGTTATTACCAAAAATCTTGGAAAACAACCACAGAAATCCATACAGAGGGGAAAGACATACCCAAAGTTATGATGGTACAACTTATTAATGTACCAACAACACCAAACAGAATGATGGTGATGAAGTTAACAAAAAACTGCTTCTTTTTCACTTGAAACCTGAAATAAATTACACAGAAAATTTTCACAACAAAATAATATTTCCCAACCACAGATTACACCAAACTGTACACAATAAGCATGATGTGAAGATGAAACATAAGAATAAAATTGAGCTTCGAGCTAGACAGATAGTGCAGCTGTGATTTTAAGGAAGGGAAACAATATATAACTGAAATTTTTAATGAGGCAAAACACAATTCATGTTCATATTTTGGGTTAGCAGGATGACTATTGTAAACTATTTAGTCACATGAACAATAATAACTCAGAAGAGATGAAATTGCCCATGGCATCTGCAAGCAAGAGCAAAGAAGACTACTTAGTTAATTTAAGTTGCATATTTCTCAACATTACTTAAATGGCAAAAGAGGGAAACCCACTGGCCACGGATTGAAGATTCTAATAAGCCACTTGAGATATTACTTATAACTATAAGCTAGTGAACAGAGTACTACTACCCGCAATGTTTCAAAGGCCTAGAACTTTCACCAATGCCTTATGCTCCTAAAAATTTTCTGCCATTAGCTGTGTAACATTAATTATGCAAAAAAGTAGTGCATCATAATCAACCAACAAATTATGACTTCATTATTCAATTACTAAGATTGGTCCGATCAGAATAATTAAAAGTATTATATATGCTAAAGTATCAGGAAAATATATGACTTTAGACCATCTTCATTGGGATGTCTGATGACAAACCTTCATCATCATCAGTTGATGATACATGCATCAAGAGGCAAAACACTCCACCCATATAATGATACAATGATAGATACAGCATCAAACATTTCATCCATATTATAGAAATATAGTTGGTGAAAAAAATTTACCCGGCATTGAATATGATCGGTGGCAGTAGGTATATAAAGAAAAGATCTTCACTGAACACAAGAAGATGCGAGCTTTTACCACCACTAAACATCAAAATAACTACACCAGTGCAAAGACCCTGACAGCAATGCATATGAGAGTCAGTAATTAATATTACCCATTTGTTTACAGCATTTATTGGCGAACAAGGTTGAGCAAATTAAAGTGAGCACTTACTATCAAAAGGGCAGTGATAGACTCATTCATCCACCGATTCTCCTCAAGAAGATGGCCAATGACAATACAAGCACACAGGAGTGCCACAAATAGGTTCATGGACACTACCGATGCATAATCTGAAGTGGATAGCATTTCCAGTTTGGAAAGCACATGACTTAATTCAACAGCCATTTTTTTTAACCCTCAATCGCAGAACCAGTTTAATTGCAATGAAATTCAGATTATTCTTGTTTCACAAAGTTCAACATCACTTTACAAACCAAATCCTCTGCAACGAAAACAAAAAGCCAACACCGATCGACCTACATGACAACATGTTTATCTTCTTCAGAAGCACATAAACACCAAAAAAACAAAAATACAAAAACACAAAAAACAAAACAAAAACAAACAAAAAAAGCAGATTCAAAACACGTGGAGATTCATCAAAAGATCATTTTCTAACCATAAGGTCAACGTGTCACGCGACACAACAAACGTAGAAACATAAAACGCTTGGCAGTAAGATGCTAATGAAAGAGCATTGTGGAGAAAGAAAACATGTAATGATATTGTTGTGAGAGTAGTAACTCAGCTTCCAGATAAAAATTCAAGTTCGAACAGAGAAAGAAAGCAATCAACCAAACATGTGTTCGAATTCCTCGCAAATTGGAAAAACTTTTCTGTTTCCAGCTCTGTGCGTTAATGATTCCGATCAGTTTTCAGAGAATGGATGTGTGATTGTAATGGAAAAACGAGATGATGAGAAAGAGAGAAAAACAAAATAAAGAGTTTGAGAAAATGAGAGAAAATAGTTACAGATAGTTGTGTGATCACAGTGGAAGAGAAAAACTCGGAGAAAAATGGAAGACAATTTTTGATAAAAGAAGCAGAGATAGAGAGACAAAGAAGCGTGCAACGCGGGGATCACAATAGTCTAGCTAACCTACGTTAATAGGATTCTAGTTCTAGCCGTTGATGCTAACGCTTGAGATTTTGTGATTGTCTAGATTAAAATTTATACTTTTTTTTTTAATGAAAAAAAGAGAGTTTATAATAAATAAATAAAAATATTATGTTTAGATACTTTTGTTTAAAAAGTTATTTTTAACTAATAAATATGATTTGGATGACATTAGTTGTCATGAAAGATATATAAGTTTTAGGGAAAAGTTAACAATGTCCCGTTAGTTTACTCTAGAATTACATATGTCGTATGAGTTTTTTTATCATATATATTTCTATAATTTGTAAAAAAGTATATTTTTTTATCACATATGTCCCTGTGATTTTTTGCTATTTACAAATAACAAGGGCATGTGTAATAAAAAAATCACAAGGGCATAGATAATTTTAAAACAAATCACAAGGGTATTCGTTAACTTTTTCTTAAGTTTTATATTATATTGTTTATATTTTCTTTTTTCTGTGGATGTTCTTATCTATTTGGATGTGACTAATTCTCTTTTTGAGCGAAACATTTAGTGGAGGGACGGACCAATTAAAATGAGACAATTTATATGATATGTGTATACAGGAGAGAGAAACAATTTTTTAATCCAAATGTTAATTTTTTAATGGAAATCGCACGTACACTGTACAAAAAAAATCTCTTTCGTGACAGAGTATAAAATCTTTTAGCACTAACATCTTTGAGTTTTTTTACCTTTTTGTCCCTTATTAATTATTTCATAATCATTTTGCCTCATTATCGCAAACTATCTATCAATCTGCCCCTCTTTAATCGATTAAATCAAAAATTTAATCGATTAAATGATCAAATGAAGATTTAATCGATTAAATCTTCAACTTAATCGATTAAATCGTCCTCTTTATCAGGAGAACAACGAAGATTTAGTTGATTAAATAGAGAGATTTAATCGACTAAATCTTCAAGTCAACGATTTTTGTCTATTTTGATCATTTAATCGATTAAATTTTTGATTTAATCGATTAAAGAGGGGCAGATTAATAGATAATTCTGAATAAGAGACAAAATAATTATTAAATAATTAATTAGGAGCAGAAGGGTGAAAAAGCCAACATCTTTGCCTTGAAATGTTAAAGGCACAAGGTAATTAAAAACTTACTTGTTTATCGATAGAGAGAGCTAAAAATGTCAAGACATTCATTTTGTGACATAAATCCCGATGTCCTCAATGTACAAGTCTGGTAGTATCATTTCTCCTGAACCCAAAGTTTTAAGTTCAACTTTGATTTCCTCTAACCATAAAAATAATATGAGCCAAACAAAAATTAAGAATGTGGAAATTAACACATTTTAATTGGGAAAACCTAAGTTTTGAGGTGGACAAACACCTTCCCAAACCAACATTTAAAATTTTATGAATCCTGTGTGGTGTAAAGGGTGCCACCCAAACTTGGTGGGTTGAAGAGGACCAAAACAGTTAAGTTAGTAATGAAATAGCTACGCAGTGACTGGTGTCATCTCCATACAATGCGCCATTGATTATGGCAAGACTTTCAACTTTTTGAATGGTGAGACTAAAATAATGTATTAATGTTCATTCATTCCCTTTTTCTTTCAGCCATTATATGGTACCCGTAAATATTGATGAATAGTGAGATAAATAGATAATTTTGTTATATAAATTTTTTTTCCATAAATATTAAATAGGTTAGGCCATATCAAACTTTATATATGACGATACAAAAATAAATAAAATAAAAAAAAGTTTTATAAAATTTTAACATGCGAGAGTTTATCCTCAAATAATAGATGTAAATTTATGGTCATATGTCCTAATCGATTCCTTCAGCTAATTGTATTTTTTTTCACCATTATTTATATTTAATTATATTATTGCTGACCATAAGTTTAATTATACTTTAAAACATTCTGTAATAACTTAATTGTTTTGACTAATATACTTCTCTAGTAATCACCGAAATTTACAACTAAAAGTATATAAGTTCATCATTTTCATATACTAATGTAATATTCTGAAGTTGTTTTTATTAAATAAAAAATATTATTATGTTTTCTAATCAAAATTATAAATATTAATTTATTAAAAAGAAATGAAAAAAAAATTCATATTAAATCAATACATATTATCATGTTTAATTTTGCAGCTTTAAATATAAAATATAATTAATTTGACAAAGTGAAATACTAAATTGAATATTGGTACGAAGCTTAAATTTTTTATTTATTTAAAATAAAATTCAAATCTAAAGCAAATGAAGTAAAATAAGTATGATGTTTTCCAAGACAAGCACAGGCCAATAATCGATACTTTTTAATAAAAGTAATCCAACAAATTGTTTGTTAGTAGATAGATATTTTTATTTTATTTTGTTGTTAAATAGATAGATACTATTTTATCGGGGGTATTACCTTTTTAGCCTTCATTAATTAATTAATAATTATTTTGTCCCTTATTCAAAACTATTCACCCCCTCTTTAATCGATTAAATGATCAAAATAAACAAAAATAATTGACTCTGATTTAATCGATTAAATAATTTAATCGATTAAATCTACAACAGACATCAAAGGTCAAATCTCCTCCGTAGATAAAACAGATTCCATGCATATGAATCAAATTAACAAACATAGATAACCAAACAAAGAAAGAAACCAACAAATTCACCTCTTGATAGCAAATCTTCTACATCGTTCAGTCTGCCTCGCAAGCCTAATTTTTTTCAACACGTATCTGCAATCCATAAAAACCAAGCTTCAGTTATCAAACTTCTGAACCTACCCATTAACCAATTTTGCATGAACATACAAAAACAATAACCCCATCAACGAAATGGAAAAAAAGTGACTCTTACTTCTTCTTCTCAGCCTTGTGATGAACAAGAATAGCAGCCCCAAAAGCTCCGTGACCGATCTTTTCCATGATCTCATACTGATTCATCCTAGACTCCATTGCTCTCTCGATCCACCAACACCCAATTTCTTAAACCCAAATATCCAAAACCAAGAAAAACAAAAAAGAAGAACACCAGCTCATTTTGAGATATTTAGTCGATTAAATATAAATTTTAATCGATTAAATATTCACGTTAATTAATTAAAGAGAGAGATTTAATCGATTAAATGCCGAGTCAACCATTTTTATCTATTTTAACCATTTAATCGATTAAATATTCAAGTTAATCGATCAAAGAGAGACAGATTGATAGATAATTCTGAGTAAGGATCAAAATAATTATTAATTAATTAATAAAAGGTAAAAAAATCTAAAAAAAACCTATTTTATCGACTATATATTGTCATAGTTGTTTGAGTTTGAGTTTCTGGTTTAATATACGAGCCGAAGCCCAGCAATAAATGAACGGCAGAGATGTCCATGTAAGGTGATCACTGACAACACATAAAGCTGTTACAACTAGAGAGAAAAAAACAAGGTTTATTAAAGACTCCCTCAGTAGGATTGTTCAGTGTTGATAAAACTGAATCGACCCGGCTAAATCGATCTAAGAAGTGGTAAATCGATTATATAATTGATCTAGTTGAAGTAACGGAGTGCGATCCAGTCGATTTTTATGAAAAAAAGGTTACTTGATCGATTAACCAGTGATCCGGCCTGGTCTCAAAAAAAAAATTCAAAATTGTTTTTTTTTTTTTTTTGAAAATTTTTTATAATGGATATATTTGAATATTTTTTGCTTATTGACTTGTATAAGTTATGTACCTATAATACTAATATTATCTCAATTATGCACAATGTAGAAAATTTTGATTTGAATTATAATTAGAGATGTCATTTTCTTAACCTAAAGCCTCATATCACGATCATTATATTTTTATTTGATCCTTTATTGAATAATAATATGTGATTTATTATTTTTAATATTAAAACATTTGAAATTTTTATCATTTTTTTAGATATTTGAGTATGTTTATAATTTTTTAATAAAAATTTTAAAATTGCATATAACTACCGGGTCATACGGTTGAACCAGTGACCCAATACCTTGACCGGGTCGATTTTAATAAGATTGGGATTGTCTCATATGAAGAAAATCACTAAGCGTTTAATTCTATTAAAATATTTTTTTATATAAACTACAAATATTCTCCACACATGAGCCAATTATGTTCTGGCGAGTTTATGATTAAAATTTTAAACCTCTTTCAATACTAATATTGAAAAAAATCAAATACATGTTTTTATTCTCACCTGCTCAACTCTCTTACGTCAATTGAACTATCATAAAATATTAATTTAATCTTTTAATATTATTATTTTTACACAATTAGATGATATTTAAATCATTGACTTCCAAGCATACTGAATGTCACTACTTCCTTTTTCTTTTGTTCTCCGTCTTTTAAGTAGCGAGATCTACTGTGCTTGGAAGTTATTGATTTAGATAGGTTTTTTCACCTTTTTTCCCCTCATTAATTATTTAATAATCATTTTGCCCCTTATGACAAACAATCTACTAATTTGCCCCTCTTTAATCAATTAAATCAAAAATTTAATCGATTAAATGGTCAAATGAAGATTTAATTGATTAAATCTTCAACTTAATCGATTAAATCGTCCTCTTTATCAGAAGAACAACAGAGATTTAGTCGATTAAATAGGAAGATTTAATTGACTAAATCTTCAAGTCAACGATTTTTGCCTATTTTTATCATTTAATCGATTAAATTTTTGATTTAATTGATTAAAGAGTGACAGATTGGTAGATAGTTCTGAATAAGGGACAAAATAATTATTAAATAATTAATGAGAGGCAAAAGTGTGAAAAAGCCGATTTAGATACCATTCAACGGCTTTTTGACCCTTTTGCCCCTCATTAATTAATTAATAACCAATTTGCCCCTGATCCAGAACTATCCACCAACTTGCCCCCTTTTAGT